ATTATTAGGTTAACATTTTAAAACGTAGGTTAAAATGATTTTGGGTTTGTCCGTGGCGCCATCTAGCGTTCATGGTCGCGAAAGTGTTTGGCTCCAATGAATTTGGAGTTCATCGTGGCGCCATCTAGCGTTCACGGCTGCGAACATGCTTGACTCCAATATGTACGGCAATATTTCTGCAATTTTCGTTTTTCCTCAATAACTCCCGAACGGATGGACGTAGGAGGACGTATTTAGGCTCATTTTGTAGGGGACGACGAGATCTACAATTTCTGTGTAAAAAGATTTCGCTAGTGCCAATAGTTAACGAGTTATTTGCAAAAAACTGTTTTTCTGTTTTTTTCCAATAACTTCCAAACGGATGGAGTTAGGCAAACGTTTATGGGTCCATTTTGTAGAGGACGGCGAGATCTACAATCTCTATATAACAGTTTCTCGCTAGCGTCAATAGTTTACGAGTAATTTGCAAAAAACTGTTTTTCGTTTTTTGACGTGTCAAGGAATATCGACCACAATTCTATAAACGCCTGATCGAACATTAAAAAGATTAGACGTAGTTTCGTTGTTACTAGCTGTACACCGCATTACCTTGATAGGTCAGATGGCTAGTAATAACACAAATTCCAATTGTTTCATACAATTTCTTTATTAGAACCTTATTAGCATTCTCATGCTTCGAGTATTAAAAATATTTTCGTCGTATACAACGTGGATTTCGTGTACTTATAATTAACAGTAATGATTAATAAATATCACAAATGAAAACAATTATTACAATTATCTCTTCGATTTACGTTACAAAGTACTTCACAGACAACAAATTAAATAAAATTAAATTAAACACGATTGATAAAAGTATAAAAATAGTTTTTAACAATCTATAAAATATCGATGAGCTGTTGCCCAGCGGAGAGATCGATGTGATCAGTCAAGTTGATCACATTGCGTCCATCATCGGTTTCATTAATGATTTTATATAAATCGTCGAACGTCGAATACCTACTAGTCGTATGTTTATCCGCAATAATAATTAACTTCTTCTTGGCTCGAGTTATGGCCACGGTTAATCTACGGCGATCCCCCAATATTTCATTGTCTTCCTCGATTATATCGCTGTCCAGTAAACTTTTAACGCACGAGTAAATTATAATGTCTTTATCGCGACCCTGATACTGGTCGACAGTATTTATTTCTACTGCTTGTCTAATGACTCTGCCGAGCAAATCCACCTGTGCCCTATACGGCGTGATTATTCCAATATTTTGTATAGAAATGCCCATCATTAGAAGCGTCTGGACCAGCTTCGCCGCTATGGCAGCTTCCCAGACGTTTGAACATGTGTCCTCGCTGTCGGAGAATCGATCGGCCATTTCCGATGGTTTCTTCAGGTTACAAGTGCGTCCGGTATTTATCAATATAACCGACTCACTAATAAGCGGCGACAGCGCTTTTCGTGTCCATTCCTTTTCCCTTTTTAAAATGGACTGTTGCGTCGAGATGCATGCATCTGCTGTTGCAACATCTCCGGATTTTAACATATCCCTGTACGTGAACTTATTTGCAACGTGCATGATTCTTCGATTCATTCTATATTGCAGATTCAGTTCGACAGTATTATTCTCGTTGTCGAGCCGAGAAAATAACGACTCGTCGGCACCTAGTTTCTTAGCTCGTATGTTCCTTACGATGGGAGGTAATTGATCAGGGTCCCCAACGAGAACGAATTTTTTTGCGCTATAAAGTGGTCGCAGAACGGTTGACTGTAACGCCTGGGTACTTTCGTCCACCAAGCAAAAATCAAACGTGCGTCTTTTGAGAAGAGGGTGACTCGCGCCGTAACACGTTGTTGCAACTATATCTTTGCTGGAATATAATTTTTCCAGGCTCTCCGGCGACGTACAATTGGACGTAACGTACGCATCCGTTTTGTTCGTTAAAGATGAATGGGCGGACGAGCCCAGGCGCAAAAAGTCTACTCCCATTTCAAGTAGCTTTAACAGGATGTTGTCTACTGCACTGTTCGTGTGTGCAGTAATTAGAACTGAGAGCTTCATTTTTCTTAATGACATTATTAAGCCGACGATAGTTTCCGTCTTCCCTGTACCGGGCATTCCTTTGATCAAGAGGTAATCGTTGGCGGACAGCGCTTTCTTGATCGCGACCAACTGACCTTTATTGAATCTTTGCATGAGTCCAGTGTTGTCNGTATAAAAATAGTTTTTAACAATCTATAAAATATCGATGAGCTGTTGCCCAGCGGAGAGATCGATGTGATCAGTCAAGTTGATCACATTGCGTCCATCATCGGTTTCATTAATGATTTTATATAAATCGTCGAACGTCGAATACCTACTAGTCGTATGTTTATCCGCAATAATAATTAACTTCTTCTTGGCTCGAGTTATGGCCACGGTTAATCTACGGCGATCCCCCAATATTTCATTGTCTTCCTCGATTATATCGCTGTCCAGTAAACTTTTAACGCACGAGTAAATTATAATGTCTTTATCGCGACCCTGATACTGGTCGACAGTATTTATTTCTACTGCTTGTCTAATGACTCTGCCGAGCAAATCCACCTGTGCCCTATACGGCGTGATTATTCCAATATTTTGTATAGAAATGCCCATCATTAGAAGCGTCTGGACCAGCTTCGCCGCTATGGCAGCTTCCCAGACGTTTGAACATGTGTCCTCGCTGTCGGAGAATCGATCGGCCATTTCCGATGGTTTCTTCAGGTTACAAGTGCGTCCGGTATTTATCAATATAACCGACTCACTAATAAGCGGCGACAGCGCTTTTCGTGTCCATTCCTTTTCCCTTTTTAAAATGGACTGTTGCGTCGAGATGCATGCATCTGCTGTTGCAACATCTCCGGATTTTAACATATCCCTGTACGTGAACTTATTTGCAACGTGCATGATTCTTCGATTCATTCTATATTGCAGATTCAGTTCGACAGTATTATTCTCGTTGTCGAGCCGAGAAAATAACGACTCGTCGGCACCTAGTTTCTTAGCTCGTATGTTCCTTACGATGGGAGGTAATTGATCAGGGTCCCCAACGAGAACGAATTTTTTTGCGCTATAAAGTGGTCGCAGAACGGTTGACTGTAACGCCTGGGTACTTTCGTCCACCAAGCAAAAATCAAACGTGCGTCTTTTGAGAAGAGGGTGACTCGCGCCGTAACACGTTGTTGCAACTATATCTTTGCTGGAATATAATTTTTCCAGGCTCTCCGGCGACGTACAATTGGACGTAACGTACGCATCCGTTTTGTTCGTTAAAGATGAATGGGCGGACGAGCCCAGGCGCAAAAAGTCTACTCCCATTTCAAGTAGCTTTAACAGGATGTTGTCTACTGCACTGTTCGTGTGTGCAGTAATTAGAACTGAGAGCTTCATTTTTCTTAATGACATTATTAAGCCGACGATAGTTTCCGTCTTCCCTGTACCGGGCATTCCTTTGATCAAGAGGTAATCGTTGGCGGACAGCGCTTTCTTGATCGCGACCAACTGACCTTTATTGAATCTTTGCATGAGTCCAGTGTTGTCCAATTGACCAGCAAGCGACGAATTTTCGTCGAAAGTCGCCGGTTTCCTAATGTACAAATCATTAATAGAATCGAGAAGCTGAGAATGAGAAGATGTAGCGAATGAATTCCAAGTATATACTTTTCTATGACGATTTCCCGTAGTCTTCTGCAGATTTCGGTATTGGTCATAAGTTCACCGATGTTGCCCAAGTTGGTCGAGAGATACGAGGAGGACGAATATTTGTTCACATGAAAGATCTCGTGTTTGTACTTTATCAGATCTCTATAAATAAGGTGAAAAATGGTAATGCTATTTTATTCACCTCTAATGGTATTGCTAATTTCTATTTACCTGTCGACCATTACGTTGATCTGATCTTCGCCTCGTTCGGCTACATACCCGGACGCTAAATTTATTCTCGCATTGGTACTTATTATTACATATTCGTTGTCATTAAATTCCAAGTATGGGATTTTCTCCCCGGGCGATGCACGAGCAAACGAGTGCACGTATCTGCCATTTGTTACACGGACGTCGAGCATCTTCAAGTTACACACTGCACGTCCCTTCTTCTCCCTGAAACAACGAAGACGTAGACGTACAATCGATGTATTCATAAAAACGGTCATTTGGTTCTACCTTTCTTGAGGAGTCAAAGTCCATAACTGCTTGAAAGTGCTCTCCGAAGAGTGCACGCTCTCTTCCATTTGTAACAACTTTACCCAGTGTAACATGTAATCGATGTGTTCGGGCTTCAAAGTTTTTAAAATCTGATTTGTCACCTGTTTTAAAGGATGGGACTCCGATAACTGTAACGAGTCGTCTCTGCTCAAGTACGCGCAACACAGCGTATTATACTCGCACGATGAGCACCAGGGTGAATTTATGGGCTCCGGAAGTTCTAAGTTTTCTAAAGTTTCCTTAGACGAGTCAAACCGACTCGCCGTTAAATAATGCGCCAAAGTATTTCGCAAAATTATCAAGTCCCTCTCCTCGGCACGTTGACTTTTTACTTCTCGTAATAGAACGTCCCTGTAATAGAACGTCAGTGATAGAACGAAATATCATAACGAAGATTTGAACTATGTTTAGAGACGAACGGAGTTACTTTAAGTACAGAAGAAGGCCGGTGTCCGTATCTTCCTCGGTCAAAGCCATCATCATAAGGTATAGAATGACTTGACCTCTATGTTGATGTGAGAACGTTGCTCTTCCTGTCTTGATTTCTAATGGCATTATCTTCTTCTTCGAGTTAATTTTCACTTGTGCAGTGATGTCTATTTTCCCCTTCATTCCTAATTCGGGCGACCATACGATCTCCTCGATATCGCGAATTTGTGCGATCTTTCCCTTAAAGTTTCCTGTTGTTCTCGCTATCTGATTTTGTTCTTGATCTAAGAACGTTGTCTTTTATTAGTAGAAATAAAAGAAGATTTGCACCGAATCGCGTTTACCTTTTAAATAATGGAGTATAAACTCTTGAATTTTAGGAACGTAAATCGACATTTTTTCTCTACACGTGCGCAACGTAACGTTCGTTGCATACAATAAGGTAACAGCGTCTGGGGTCTGTAATATCTTCTCCATCAACTCCGATATTTCGGATGTCCTAGAAATATTCTTGTTTATTGCCTGCAACAACGATACCAGAAAATGTATTTTTAACGAATCTAACTGCAAGACGCGAGCTCTTACGGTCTGTAGTAGTTGATGGACTAAAGTTCCAACGACTAAAGGTGTTGAATCTTGATCTTCACTACGTAAACTGTCTATCCTTCGGAATTTTTCCGATAAGACGGATTTGCGCATGCAGAAAGTAGCACCGCTTATGCTCGTGCCGGATAACAGCGTATCTGGGTGAACAACGAGCATTCCAGTTACGTCGTCCACGGTCCATTTTCCTCCTTTCTTTTCCGCGCGAACCACTACTTTGTCACCCTTTCGTACGATACAGTTTACCCTGGACCCGAATTCAAAATATTGCTACAGATGTTCACTCCTATTTGTACGCTACAAACGTGTTTCTTACCATCTTCCACAGATAAGTACTGTGCCGCATTTTTCATTCTTCTGCTCTACGTCGAGAGTTATCGTATTTGCCTCGTACTTGATCTCGACTACTTTGCACCTTTGAAAGGTGCCGAAATCGATCTCTCCTACTTTGTAAGTTGAGCTGTCGAAATCGACCTCGCTGATGTTGAGGAACTCTTCGTCTAAGAAATCATCGAACAACTTTTCTAATTCTTGAGACTCGTTTATCGTCTTCGTATCACACGTTCCTGTAGCTATGCTATTTTGGGACTCTGTTGTATCTTTCGGGAGGGACGAAGTAGAAATCTCTCGCAAACTTTCATCGGAATCGTTCACTATTATTATCGACTTATCAGATGCATCAGTGGATATATCGATGCTTATCGAAGGATGCTTATCAAATGTACTGTTTTCGGATGAATTCAATGTAATAATACTAACGTCCGAAATCCCCTCGTCTCCAGAAATACATTTTTCAAAGCTTACTCTTTCTACGTTGCCTCCACTTGATTTGCGTGGCAATATCTTGCTTTGATCTGGATTCATATTCTCCTTGGAGAACGCTTCTCTTACTATCACTTCCTTCACTATTTTAACTCCATCTTCTTCATTATTAAGTTGATTTTTATCTGCGAGGGAAGGTCTATATTTCGGGGTTCTTGGCGAACCATTGCCTAATTTTGCAATTTTCCTCTGGCAAGAATCATCTGTCTCCAGTAACTTCCGTTTGACAGAAGATCCTTGGGTTTCTATATCAGTCTTACTGATGGTTTTGCTGTCATCTTTAGGGATATTGTTCTTTCCCTTATTCCTTGGACTCCGACTTGTCGAAGCCCCTTTGGTTTTGTCACGAGTGGAACGGGATTTGTTCATAATAGATTAGATGTAATACACTCTTTTACTGTAACAATACAAATTTCTCACATGCAAAGTATGCAAAGATTCGAAACGTTCGAAACTAACTTGCACTGACTCGTTCGTCGCGTGTTGCTTACATAGGTACCTCGAGTGGGGAGAACACGCGGGAAACTTTCCCGCGCTCACAGATTGCACTACCACCAAGAAGATACTACACTACTACAAAAGAGTGGCAGTGCCCCTGTAATCGGTGTAATTCTTGGGGCAGCAAATGGAGTACAATGGGACCAAATGGGACTTAAAACACAGTCGGTGATCGCTCTTTTTAGTCGAGTTGGAAGGAAATTGCATAGGATCTTTCTTGTATCTGATAACTGGAGCTACAGCTTTTGGCTGAGACATTCTTCGCTTGGCCAAAGAAAAAGTTTTTGCAACAATTTTATTTATTAGTTATTGAAGCTAGCGAAAAAAAAATTCTACAGAAGTTGTAAACAACTGACGTCCTCTACAAGAGAGGTTCTATGCATTTTTCTTCTAACTCCGGTATGTAACCAGTTACATATGATAACAGTTTGATAAACGAAGCTTAAAGGCATTTCAAAGGAAAATGGGTAGAGAAACGTGATTGTACGTGCAAAGCAGTTCCATTCGTACCGATAGTTTTTATTGATATTTCTGTATACGTAATACTCATGTACATTGACAAATGATCGTTATTGATCATTATTGGGGCTTGGCTGACTTCTGCAAATTACTGAAACGCGTCTATCTTTCGGTACGTGTCGGCCGTCAAAGTACGATTCTTCGTTTTTTAAAATTTCGTGACGATAGTCGTATCTGGCCGTCCCGCTGTAAACCAAGAACTGTGACCGATACGGAATTACTGTTGTTCAAACTACACACTCAATTACCCAAACGTACCTCATTATGTATAAGGATCTTCTTGGCAATAGAAAATCTTTGTACTGCGTTTCGTTATTGACCATTGTTAATCTCATTACGCTGTCGGTCAACAAACTTAAACCCGCGATAATTTGCCCACAAAACTACGAAGAGATCTCGATAGAAAGTTTGGCTCGAACAATGATTAAGACAAATTGTGTACCGTTATAATACCGCACATACTCTAACGCTGTCGACGTGTGGTTTTATCCATCCTTCTGGCGCCAGGTCTAAGACATGTATCAATGGAATTTGCGATGTCCCTATAGGGAACGCGTTCTCCCGAATTCGGTTTATTATCTCTGTATTCCTTTCGTTCCACTTGCTCCTCTCCGTTTCTCTGTAACTATGTATCGCCTACAACGCGAGATAAGTGAGACAAAATACGATCGGACGAATCTAATTACGTATCATCTATTCGCATTATAATTATACCAACATCGTCCCAGTGTGATCGTTCGTATCGAAGTCGTTTCATGTACGGATCAATCTCTTCCATCAAAGATTGCTCTTCCTCGATCGTGACGAAATTTCCCAGAATCTGCATCGTATCCTCGAGCTCTTGTTTCCAATTACTGGAATTAACGTCCGTCTTGTCGGACACGATTTTTGACTCTCCATGACACCTGAGATTGTTATAATTACACGTTCTTTTCAAGACACGAGCGAGCGAACGTAATGTACTGTTCATTGCTCACTGTTTTTTAGAGTACAGGTTAAACTAGATAACGTAACATGTATCTGGTTGACGGTAACACACGCGGACATTACGTTATCCTTATTTAATTATACACTCGTTGTATATGTGTGTGCCTTATTATTGGTAACAATTTTCATTTACGTCGAATTGTTTATATCGAAGAGGAGACGAGTGCACGTCGTCAGTTACCTTTGACACTAGGCATTTAAATGCCATGTGCTACTGTGACGTCGCATGCGCCATAGCGCACGCGAAGGCATCGCCGTGCATAATCAACTTTTGACAGAATCAGACGCTGAGCGTTTTGTTCCTACTGTTCGGAATCGAACAAAACCTGAGAGTCGTATTCAGGAAGGATCTATTCAAATGCCTCTCAAATTTTATTAAAATATCTTCATGGATTCGGTTGGTATAATTAAAAATATGCAGGTCTAGATGAGTAAATGACTGTAAAGCAAAATGAAATTCGTATAAATTTTATAATTACTTTCTCGTCTCTCCTATTTTTAATTAAATACTTGCTAGAGGTAGACCTGTAGAGGAACTTGATATTCTCGCTTGTAATAAACAGAATCAATGACCAAACACTGGGTGCCAAATGTCCGAGGAATATATCTTGAGCGGCGCAATATTCGCTGGAAACAGAAAGAGAGTAACAGTTTTATAAGACAGAATCATGTCCAGAGTTTAAAATGCTGCTAACATGCACCTTGGCGAAGTATTTTTAATGAATCGCGAATGGCGATTGAATTCAAAGCTCAAGGTACTCATGATATAAGAATATTGAGCGACGTGGTTCGTCCAATTCGAATCGCTAGGGCGGTACCAAAAGTAATTGAATTCCTATGGTGTAACAGATATCATGTGTCAGCTTGTATGATATAATGCAAATGACAACGTGATGCGAGAGGAAAATATTCTTTTTCAGCATGTTCGTGACATTTATATGGCTGACATGACAAAAAAGTGACATCGTAGGAAAAGTTCGGATGACGGTGTACCTATATCAGTACGTCAAAGAAACAGATCGTTCCATACAAGGCTATTGCATACAATTAATTCTATATGCAATAGCTTTTTTTTGTCACCCATCTAATTGGACCCGCATAACAAGGTATATAATTTTCATTTGCCAGTTTGTGTATAAAAGACACGAATCTCGGATACCGCGTCTAGTATTTTGGCAGGATCGATCGAGAGCACGTTTCGAGTCATTCTGAAGCGAGAGGAATCTACACAGCATCATGCGTTACAGTTGCATCGCGTTGATCACGTTGTCGCTCTTAGCATGGGTCTACGGCGAAGAGCTTTACTCCGACAAGTACGATTACATCGACGCCGACGACATTTTAAGCAATGACCGTCTTCGAGAACAGTACTACAAGTGCTTCATGGATACTGGACCCTGCGTAACTCCGGACTCGAAATTCATGAGGGGTAAACTAGCATCTTTCTTATCTGCAATTTTATACGAGTTCAACGTCCGTTGAACATGTCAGTTTAAATCGTCCGACGTTACAGAACATATATTGGAAGCGATCGCGACGAAATGCAAGAAGTGTACCGAGAAGCAGAAGACTTCCCTGAACAAAGTAGCGGACTACTACGCGGCGAACGACCCTGAGAAATGGGAAGCTCTGATACAGAAAGTGGTAATGGATTTCAAAGACATGGCCGGAAGCAGCGACGCCTGAACTGGAACTGTTTCTGCAATTACTACAATAATTATCGTATCCTATCCAGTAGTACATGTAACGTTTTCCCGATTGAAACTTTGCAAATTTCTTGATGTATTGAATAAACGGCACACCTGAAGCAGAGATGAAGAGATAAGAACGTTTGCTCTCATGCGGCTTTTGTACCATATGGTTCATTCTACCCATCCTCGTTCTCCGTTCTCCGTAGTAGAACTCGATGTGCATGCAGTTTCTCTGATTCACTTGTCCAAGAATATTTAATTGAAGAACACAACAGGAGCAAGGACGTGACACGACGAAGGGATATGCCGGCGGCACATTTCTTTCATGTTCCCGCTATCACCCCACCACGCTCAGGACAGGACGTTCCCTAACAATGATGAAGTTAGCCACTACCATAACTGACCATAACCTCGTTCACGCCCTACTTCACCTCGTTCTAATTGTTTATCACTATCAAACGATAATGATGCGAGTCAAAAGTAGAAGACAGAATCGAAGAACCATTCGTACGTAGATTAGACAAATAGATAGCACGTCGTCGACAGATTTTGGAGATAACTTATGCAGCTGTTCCGCTGGCCGGCTGTAATACAGAAGTTGCACCAGTGGACGTATTAGAAGGTGTCAGACTCGCCAGGTTCAACCTCGGCCGTTAATTTAATTAATGAGATATCGAGACATGTCGTTTGCACGTTAAAATGTCGTATCAGGATTCACCTTTCTCGACCATGTATGGTCAGGACGATTACGATATCGACGAGGAAGACGACGAGTACTTGCACTTGGAGGATGATCGCGCTGTCGAGGAACTGGTCGAGAGCGATGAAGGTACGATTGATAATTTAGAGATACTTCTTGGGTAATAGTTTGATGAGTAGACGATGTGAATTCTCAGATACAGAGGAGGCGAGTGAGACGGATCTTGGTAAATCGGAAGAATACACGGAGATAAAAGAACAGTGAGTAGAACGATACGATCGAAACGTTTGTCGTGATACTTGAGTACTCAATGGTTTCTAGAGTTTACCAGGACAAGTTGGCCAGTTTGAAGAAACAGTTACAGCAGCTGAAGGATGGAACGCATCCGGACTACAACCGCAAGTTAAAGAGGTTGGAGGCACAGTACAAAGAAAGGTCGGCATTCCTCACGACAAAGAGATATAGATCATTTCTAACTCTACCAATTTCATTAATACCGACTGAATTATGTACAGATTACGACTGAACATAATTTACCGTGATTATTTGACCGAATGGGTAGAACGGGATTATATATTGGAGAAGAAAGCAGCGGTGAAAGAATTCGAAGAGAAGAAGATTGATTTGAAGGAGAACTTATTGACCGACATGGAGGAGAAGCGGAAAATGATAGAATCGGATCGGCATACAATGGAACTGACGGGTGATTCGATGGAGGTATAAAGAATCTGATGAACGAAGCAATTTTATGGTTGCCAAATGGTCTGACGATCGTTCGTTTAGGTGAAACCTGTGATGACGAGAAAATTACGAAGGCGACCCAACGATCCAGTACCGGAGAAAGTAGAGAAACGAAGGAAACCACCCCCGGCACAATTGAATTATTTGTTGGACGAAAAGGAGATAGAGAGCGATCTCAAAGCTATCAGCCGTGGCAAAGTACTGGCTACCGTTCGAAAACCAGGTAGGTAGCGAATTCGTGACTCCAAAGGAACGCGCAATCGTGTCGCAACATTGTATCATCGTTTCAGTGTTGTCCCATTACAACGCGGTAAATATATCTTCGCAACACGTTCCTCCACCCTCCGATACGCCCATGATAGATACCAGAATAGAGGACGGGAAACTGCTGCACGAAAGGCGATGGTAATTATTCAAGCTTGTTTGATACAAAACGCGAAAGTATTTGGGATTGGCATGAAAATGTTACAGGTTCCATCGCGGTCAACCGGTATACGTGGAGGGAAAGGACTTGACAAGGTTCGCCGCAAACATCTCTGCGATCGGAACCGAGGCCGTGAGTGATCACGACGAACTGTTAATTAAATTCAGACGAACGTTTGTTTCGTTTATTTTTGAAAAGTATAATTTGTCCGTTTCACAGATTTGGGTGAAGAAAGTTTCGGATGGGAGCAAAGTGCGAATATACATATCCCAACTCAGTCGAGGGAAAATTTCGATCAAGAGAAGAGCGTCTTAATTATTATTGTGAAAAGGACGGACTTACTCGAGTGTTCAGTAACTCTTAAACTTGTGATACGTTAGACTTGTAGTTTATTGGAATCCTATTTTCTGGATTCAATATAATTTTTACTGTGCTCGTTTTTTGCCACCAATAAAACCAGATCCTCTGGTGATACTGTATCGCCATGTACATCCATATGAAATAGGAGAATAGCAGCAGGGTCATCATGGCTAACAGTAGATAAGTGGTCCATCGCGCCGGCGGGAAGTTATCGTAATTATTTTTCGCGTAGAAATCGGCCGCGACGATGCAAACGTAACAACAACCGATCGCCAGGGGCGTGATTATCATGCTACGGAAGAGATCGGCCTTTAAACTGCGAACGTGCAGTTGATGTTGCTGCTGGTTAAGGCACATCCAAATTATTATAGATTGCAGAACGTTGTAGCGAGGCGTTCGCATGATATCGAACTTGTGCCCGCACAGTTCGCAACTGTTCCTGTTGCTCTCTTCAAGCCAGTGTTCCAAACATTTCAAATGGATCGCGCCCATGGTTCCCTTGAAAAAATTTTATTTCCTTTATCCCGAATCGTTTCTTAACGGGTAATCGTAACATAGGTCGGCGCACCTTGCACTTGCACGGATAAATTATAGGTAAATGCAGCGAAGAATCGTAACAAATGCGGCAATGTAACTCTTCGAAAGAGTCCTGTAAGCTCAACTTGATCTTTTTACTCGAATCGTGCTTCGCGTCGAATTTTCGTTTCACGCTCTTGTTAACGACGGCCGTGTCATCGCCGAGTTCTTCGACCTTCGTTATAATTTTCTCTAACACGCTTATGACGGAACTCCTCTCACAGATCATTGTAAATCATTTTTTATCGTGTCGATGCTCGTCGACACGTACGAGACGAAAAAAAGAGACAAAGGAAGACAAACGAGAAGCAGCGAGTAACTCCATGGTAATTCCAGCTCATCGTTATTATTTTACGTTACTTCGTCGTAACACAAGATTGCGATGAGTTATTACTGTACGAACTACGAGAATTTTTATAGAGGAGCGAGAACGACGAAGATGTTGACGAAAGACTACCTGAACACGTGTATAAAAATTTGTATTACGTTACGAAGAATACAATTAAGTTAGTCAAATACGATAATATTAATGCGATACGTTATTATTATGTGCAATTTAACCTATGGTCAACCGGCGAACTATGAACAAACGTTTGTCACTCGGCCATCATATCCACGCTGGGACAATCCTCGCCCATGTTGCTCGGAGACGTTTCTAGTTCTCCGATTTCGTTCGACTCGCTGAAACGTTAACACATGTACTTATCCGCAACGCGTAAGATTTTTAGAAGCTTTTATCGAAAGGCTACCTATCCAACGAAGGGTCATTGCTGAACATTTCGGTGGGTACCGTCGGTGGTGCTTTCTCCGGTACCAGTTCCAAGTAAGTCTGTCTAGACTCTAAATGTCTCTCCACCTCTTCCGGCGTCATATGACCGTCCGACATCAATGATATCGGCACTACATTGTTCGATGATTGTACCTGAACAGAAGTTCTCGCGTAACACCACTTGTTCTTCAAGATTATAAGCGGTTACTTACTACAGGCGTGGTGTTCGACTTCGTCACTTTGGGCGCAGGTTTCTTCTTCTTATTAACATTAAGAGGCTTTGCCACCGTCGGCATGTGATGCGGCATATGATTACCGATTCCCATCTCTATCTTTTTTCTAAAGACAAACAAACAAAAGAAGCGACACACTATGATTAGAAGAGTGACTTGCCTCGGCTGTAAATCGACTACCTTTTAGATGTGTCGAGACGAGTAATTTCCTCGTCCGAGGATTCTGTTTCATCGCTTTCGCTGAACGAAGCATCTACCTTCTCGTATTGCAACAACCGGTCCAATAAAAAGCTTTTATCCCTGTTCACCTTAAGCAATTTCCTCTGAGTGGACCGGAGAGCTTCTTGGAAACATTCGTTTTCCTGAGACAGTCGTCGAATCGTTAGACGCGATAACACTTGACGATAATAGGAAAATCGTGAACGGACGTACATAAATTAAGAACTTGAGCTTTCTCTTAAGATTTCTGTATTGATCCTTGTAATTAGGCACTTCCTCCTCCGGGCTGTCGTCGTCATCGTCTTCCGCGTCCGCATTGTTGTTTGCGATTGAACGACAATACCATTCTTCCAACATTGATCATTCGCGACTAGAAGCAGATCAAACGAATTTCCAGAGCCAGCCGACAGTGATGAAGAAAAAACTCCACTGTTAAGTACGTAGGGAGTGCTAATCGAAGATCGACGGATGCTCTGTTCGCTTCGATTCGGCGGAGGCGCAAGGTTAAATCTCCGTCGACGTATGAGAGAAATTGGCAAAAATGGGAGTTTGAGAAAAAAGGAAGGAGGAACCGATGGAGATCACTGGGCCAGAGATCGAAATGAAATTTCCCGATTACCTGCGCCGAGCTTTACGATGATTTTTTACGTCTCGCGAATAATCGGGTCGAACGATTATTGAGAGGATAAATACACTGATACGCTGTTTATGACTAGCTTCCATTCTGCAAAACATAGATAGGCCGATAGGCGTGAGAAGAGGCGACGGCGACGTTTCGTAGTTCGTAGTGAGAGGAAGAAGGGACGATACGACCGGTTTAAATGGCCTTTCGGTAACGATCGACAAATCTCGCCTATCGTCAGCGCATCGTTCACAGCGAAATTATCAGTAATAAAAACTGACCGTAGAGGACGAGAGATTTCTCGTTGAAAATAAATACGTCTACCTGACACTTTTCTTTCGAATAGGACGAAATCCGATCCGAAATGATGAAATAAACATATGTTAGTGAAACAATCCGTTTTTACCTAGGGAAAGTCGTTTTATCACCGATGCTCGTTTACGCGTTCTAATCGGTATAATGGTAACACCGCCGACGAGCCCGCACCGAACCCACCGAGCCCCGAGTTCAAGTACGTTTATCTATCTATACGTATCGTCGTATTAAAGTAAAGTTGGTAAACTTATACGCTACCCCGAGGTTTTTAATTTTTTTAAGGAAAGGGTTCGTTGATTAGAAAATTGTTAAGTATTGTGATCACAGTGCGAGTCGCACGGACGTTTCGTATCGCCGCTAAGAGACATTCTAACTAAAAGATGGGTATACCGAAGTTCTTTCAGTACATAAGCGAAAGATATCCGTGTCTTACAGAAAAGTTAAAGGACTATCAGGTAATTGGAGAACAGCATTTCTTTCCCACGCCCTCGCATCTTCCTTCGTGATCCCCTGTGACACCCTCGGTACAATTTGTTTACACAAATTTTTTGTTCACTGTCGTCCTGTTCAAGTTCTGGAATAAATCTCACGATCATGTCCGACGAATATTATTGTTCTGATCTCGATCGATTGTTACAGATACCCGAGTTTGATAACTTGTATTTAGACGTGAACGGTATCATACACGGTTGCTCGCATCCGGACGATACCAACGTTTTATTTCGTATCACGGAAGAGACTATATTCAATAATATATTTCGCTATATCGAGCTACTGTTTCGCATGATCCAGCCACAGAAATTATTTTTCGTGGCGATCGATGGAGTAGCGCCGAGAGCAAAGATTAATCAGCAAAGAAGCAGGCGATTCAGGGCTGCGAAGGACGCAGAGATCCAAGAGCTGAAGGCCAAGACCAAGGGCATCAGTCTACCCACGGAGAAGAGGTTTGACTCTAATTGTATAACTCCCGGGACACTGTTCATGGCCAAGCTGGACGAGCAATTGAAGTATTTTATAACGTATAAAATATCTACCGATAAACTTTGGCAGAAGTGTAAGGTAATGTTCAGTGGATCTCAGGTGCCCGGCGAGGGGGAACACAAGATCATGGATTATATACGTTACATGAAGTCACAGCCGGACTACGATATACATACCAAGCACTGTTTATACGGTTTAGACGCGGATTTGATAATGTTAGGTTTGTGCACCCATGAAGTACACTTCACGTTATTAAGGGAAGAGGTGACGTTCGGGAAGAAGCATTTGAAGGTCTTGTTGACTCCCGAGGAGACAAAGTTCTGCCTGTTTCATTTGTCTCTGCTGAGGGAGTACATAGATCACGAGTTTTCCTCGTTGAAAGAAAAGCTTGCCTTCCCGTACGATCTTGAGAAAATAATCGACGACTGGGTTCTGATGGGATTCCTCATAGGAAACGATTTTATACCGCACTTGCCGAATTTGCACATCGTGCACGGCGCGCTGTCCGTGTTGTATCAAGTCTACATGGACGTATTGCCAACGTTGGACGGCTATATAAACGAGACGGGAACTCTGAGACTGGACAGATTCGAGAAGTTTATGGAGAGGCTCAGTCGGTTCGACATACTGCGGTTCTCGGACCATTACGCCGATATAAAGTACCTCGAGAGCAAAACAGGGAAGCCTCTTCCCGAGACCGAGAGGGCGAACAACCTGAAATCCGAGAGTAGCGACGAGACACCGTCGCCGAAAAGAGTACAGCAAGACAAGGAGTTCGACGCTTTACTCAGATCGGCCATGGAGTCAGGGAAGGAATGCGACGAGGAGGGAGGGGACGACGATTCCGACCCCGAGATCTACGCGATGGAATTCGTTCAGCGTAAAAAGGATTATTATATTAATAAGCTGAATTACGAGACTATAGATGAAGATTTTTTACGTTCACAAGCCGAGGGCTACGTGAGGGCTATCCAGTGGAACTTGAACTATTACTATAACGGATGTTGTAGCTGGTCTTGGTATTACCCGCATCACTACGCGCCTTACATATCGGATATAAAGGATTTCAAAGACTTGAAGCTGGAGTTCGACATAGGCGAACCGTTTTTACCCTTCGAACAATTGTTGGCCGCTTTGCCGCCGTACAGTAAAAGCCTATTGCCGTCGGCGTTTCAATCGTTGTTGACTGAGGAGCAATCTCCCATAAAGAATTACTATCCATTGGACTTTGAGACGGATTTGAACGGCAAACAACAAGAGTGGGAGGCCGTGGTACTGATTCCGTTCATAGACGAGAAACATCTTTTAGACGGTGAGAGATCTACCGATATTTAATTCTCTCGATGCGCGAAGGTTTAACCGAGATTTTACGCACACAGCGATTGCGACTCGTCACTCGCAATTGACTACGGAGGAACGGATGAGGAACAGGCACGGACCGATGTGCCTGTTCACTTACACGGAGGAGAACTTAGGGGTTTACAAGGCGCCCGAGTACTTCCCGGACGTGGTCAGCCACGCGAGGGTCCAGCTGATAAATCGCGAAGATATAATCGTCCCACGAGACAAACTGGTTCGAGGTTTGTGTCCCGGTGTAGAGCTCGACGTGTACTATCCCGGTTTTCCCACCCTTCGACACATAGAGCATACCGTAACCTTGGAAAAGGCTAAAGTGAGTGATCGGCGATCTTCTGTCTTGATCTATCTATTGTCTCATCGATGATCATCGCACAGGTAAAAGTACACCAGAGACAATCGCTTCGGGACAGTATGGTCCTGCATATAACTTCTCCACCCCAGACCAGTTTAACGACACTAGGCCAGAACCTGTTAGGTAATACCGTATTCGTCAATTGGCCTCACATGAAGGAGGCCGTAGTGGTCGCTGTTTCGAACGATCACGCGAAACTGAATTTGGTCAACTCGGAAGTAGCCGTGGCGAAAGAGTCCGAAGAGTCCGTCAGCGACGATATGTGGAACGCGGTGAAGAAACGTATTACCGATACGTAAGTACCGAGACCGAGACAAATTCTTCTCTCCGAGACAAAAGTTATACTTTAGCCGCGCGATCAATGTAACAGGTACAAGGGTCATCTCGCCGTTGAGATTGGCCCAACGAAGTTTCTCGTTCACGTGCGACTGCTGCTAGGCAAGAAGCATACGTTCGGCACTCACGGGAATATGCGGATCGAAAAACAATGGTCGGAATTGCCGGCTGCTTACGCGTATCAAACCGTGGTGAAGGATATCGTTGTTCGTTCGAGCGACGTAGCGTTGTTCAACTCGATCGACGAGGTCTTTGTACCAGGAACCACGTGCTTCATGCTCGGCCATCCTTATTACGGCGCATTGGCAAAAGTATGACTCTACGAGTACGATAGAATTGGACGCGAGGCTCTATACCAAACATTTTTGCGACAGGTATGCGAATCTGGAGTCTGCAAAACGTCGGGCAGAGTGAAAGTGTCCGTGCTGACCGTACGAGAGCCTCCGTTCGAGGTGATCAAACAGCTTCAGTCGAGTTTTTTTAATCAATACGTGACTGGCAGCTTGGCCGCGCAAAAATTAGGTATAAGTAGTCTGCTGTTGAGCAGAGTGACCGGCACGATTTTTGTGAAACCGTCTTCGGATGGTGTGAAACAAGACGACTCTACGCACAATATCGGATTGAACCTGAAGTTCACTAAAAGAAACGCGGAGGTGAGTATGACGCGAACGAGTACCGATCTTCTTTAGCTCCGACTGTGTATCATTTTCAGATATTGGGATACACCCGGAAAACGGAGGATGGCCATTGGTTTTACAGTCCGAAGGCCATCGAATTGATTCGTAACTACATGCTCAAGTATCCCGTTCTGTTCGAACGACTGGCCCAGAACCCGTCCGCCTGCATCTTCCAGGAGGAAGATCTGTTCGCTAAAGGGTAAGCTCGATAATTTGCTGTTCGGGCTTGATCGTTAATTACGACCGTGTATCACCGTAGCACGAACGAATTGAGCGAAACGGTGGCGTGGCTGAAGGATCAATTACAGGGAACGGAAATACGTACTTGCGGCACGATGACGGTCGAGAGTCCTATTGTGAAGAAACTCGAGGAGCAAATAGACGCGTACGTAAACTCACAGGACAGCGCCGGTAAGGCCGTGGAAATGCAGGTTCAGCCGTATCTACTTTACGTACCTGGCTTGCATCTGCGCAACCTTCCACCCGATCCGAAGACGCACACCGTGCTGCTGGACAGAGTCTGTTGCACCAAAGATAATTTCACCGTGCCGCTTGGATACAAGGGAACGGTGATCGGAATACAGAAGATGGAAGCGGCGGACACGATGTACGACGTTCTGTTCGACAAAACGTTCGTGGGTGGCCTCAGTATAAACGGATCCTCGGAGTTGCGGGCGTATCGTTTGTCGGCGCTCGATTTCATAAATATAAATCACGGAGACAGGATAGCACATTCTAAAGCGACGCTGGATGGGAGCATGGAACCCACGGAAGTCAGAAAGTCCGGTCATGAATCTCAGAGACGCGCGAACGCTAGTGCGTTTGCATCGTACAGAAATGAGAATCACTTTGGAACGGACGCGCCGATGTCTCCTAGACCGAGGATCGTACAGAAGAACGCCGAAGGAAGCGGCCAGATCCAGAGATACAGGTATAACGCGCAAAACGTTCAGGTCGTGAACGCTTTTCGGGAACCGTACAGAGTGAGAAACCCTCTACCGCCACCGCCAGTATTACCGTCACCGAACTTACAGAAGAAATCGTCTACAGAGCCCACGTCCGAGTTCCAGGCAATATGGAACGAGTTGCATAAAAAACAGGTTCGTTCAATATGAATCGCGTCAGCTCAGCGTTTAACCTTTTGACGATTTCCATTGTTTTTTTTTGTTCTTTATTAGGAACCGAACGATCTCGTTCAGAAAACTCCCCTGCCTCCTAAAGTAAAACACGACAAAGGCTTTCCAGGGAATCCTGTGAGTACTAGAGTTGGATAAGTAATTGCACGTCGGAAACATTTAAAAAACTGTTTGTCGTGGGGTAAATTAGGCACCACAAGATCCTAGCGCGTTCCTGAAGGCGGTATTAAAGATTTCCGATGGAAACGCGCAACAGACCGCGCAACAGACCGCGCAACAGACCGCGCAAAAGCCAGTGCAAAAGGTAGCGCAACAGACCGTGCAAAAAGCCGGGCTAAAAGCCGCGCAACAGCCCGTGCAAAAGCTCGCACAACAGTCCGCGCAAAAGCTCGGGCAACAACCCATGCAACAGTTCGCGCAACAACCCGTGCAACATTTCCCGCAGCCTGGAACGTCCAAGGCGCCTAGACGTACGAACAGTGTTCAGAAGGAGAATAAAGCACTGGACAACACGCCTCCCTTGGTACAACAACTGTTCGACGTAAGTTTGTCAGACCTTTTTCTTCGGGCCTCGGATCTGAATTTGATTTAAGGATGTATTGGCTATACAGTCAATTCCAAAAGTTTATGTACCTTAGAAAAAGGTACTAAAGTCCTCTACAAGAAAAATTGTATGTATTTTTCTTCTAACTTAAGTATTTAACGAGTTAAGTATCATTAACTGGCATTTTATGGGTGCCGACGAAATCCGGTCATTCCACCGTCGAAATGGCGAACTTTTGGCAAAAAATTTCGTTTTTCCTCAATAACTCCTAAACTGTTCGACTTACGAGAAAATTGCATAGGACCTTTCTTGTAGAGGACGACGAGGCCTACAATTTCCGTATAAAATTTTTTCGCTAGCATTAATATTTAACGAGTTATTGACGAAAAACGAAAAAACAGTTTTTTGCAAATTACTCGTTAACTATTCGCGCTAGCGAAATGTTTTTATACAGGAATTGTAGATCTCGTCGTGCTCTACAAGAAAGGTCTGATGCAATTTTTCCGTAAGTCAAACGGTTTAGGAGTTATTGGCAAAAAACGAAAATTTCGAAGAATTTGAAGGGGTACCCCTTGGAAAAATCTCGGAAAAATCGAAAATTTTTTTTTGTTGTTTATTATTAGCAATGTTCTTCCGATGTCTGATTTCTTTTTAAAAAATGTGTTTCTAGAGTGCATAAACTTTTGGGATTGACTGTATAGCCAATACGTTCTTAAGTACGAAGAAAGATCGTTCGTTTCCAGCATGCTCGACAGAACGAGAAGGCGAAGGACGACAAGACGCCGATTTGGTATTGTTCGCAATTGTTGAATTACCATCAACTGAGCGGAGTAGGAATGCCACGGTATAGTTACTTCGCCGATCCCGAGACTAAACTAATACAAGCGCATATTCTTTTGCCAGACAAGAGGGTATTCGTCGGAGATTCCTGCGTGAATCACGAGCAGGCAGCGGGAAGCGCCGCGAAGAAAGTCTATACGGTAATTTTGGTTGTACCGAGCGAACGTTCGGAGAACATGATTTCGATCGGCAACTATACCTTCCGTTCTTCTCCGCAGGAATTGAATCTGGCCACCGTACTGCCAAATATGAAAATACTTCTGCCACCGCAGCATTGGTATTCCAATGCTCAAAATACCAATTGGTCGCAAAACGTGAGACCACCCGCGCCCGGAAGTTTCTACCCACCCGAATCTACGCTCCTCCAAACGTTTCCCGAGTGGGTGCAGAAGGGACATCACAATACCGGCCATCAGCATACGTCCAAGCAAAATGACCAGTATAATAATCATTACAATCGACCAAAACCATCCATCCCCAAAGAACCTAAGCCAGGGATGAGTGCAAAATCGAATCTAGGGATGAATCCAGGAGCGAATCCAGGAGCGAATCCGGGGTCGAAAAACTTTCCAGCTTTCGTTCCCTTGCAAGCGATAAAGAAAAGCAGGAACGTCATGGCTAAACAGTCGGCGAACAAAGAAGCTACGACCCAAAGTGCCAAAGACAATCCTCGGCCTGTAGCCAAGCCGAAGAATACCGAATCGCAGACTCAGGCAAAGGTACGTTGGAACGGCTAAAATTGTTAAGTATTAATTGTTTATCGTACGCCTCGATCGTTACAGGCGACGAAAGTGGAAGCGACCAGCTCGAGCGGTTGCGGAAAAGAAAAGTCGGTGCAGAACGGTTCAAATGAAACACAAACTACGCAACGGACTTTCGTGATAAAGCCTAAGAAGTCGCGGGTAGCCGCGAAGTTCAATTTACAGACGCAAACCGAGGAGAAGGATCACAGTAAATCTTCTTCGTCTACTTAGGAATAATGAGAATGGGCATTGAACTGCAGAGAATGGTCGAAAAATTGTTCGACCCGTTTCTCACACATTTGTTTTCGATATTTTGTAATAAAAACAAAAAATTCCAAACGGGAACGGTAGTGCGAGCGGGAAAGAGGCAAGCTTCAAAAAACGTTTGAAGTTGTAGAATTGTATAAGCTCAATTATAAGTTCTTTTACTTTTACTAGAGTTTCTTTTTGTTGTTCTTTTTTTTTATACGTTCCAACGTTGAACGGAGATTCAGTATTGAGCACTATACACTACGCGAGAATCGACATACCTATGAAATGTGTGATTTAAATTTTAAAATACCAAGATATTTTATCTATTGTTTCGTAATATTTTTTTTGAAACACTTTATTTTGTTTACCATTTATTTGATCAGCTAACCATGGACCATTGTTTTTGTAGACTGAGAGGATGCCTATGTAACTATAAAAATGACGCAACTCATTTCGGTCATTTTAAAGAATGCATCGTATGTTTATAAATTTTTGAATTTTTCAAAGCACTGAATAAACAAGAACAAATAAAAAGAATGATCTGAACGTATAATGCGAGTCAAGTCTGTTCATTATTTCTTTTTAACTCATTGTTCCCCCCTTCATGTACATGTTACAGTCTTTATTCAAAAATTATTCGTTACATAAAGGATGATCGTTACCTTGACCGTCGAACATGGAAAAAGGTATTTCACTCTGAACAGAGCAGCGTTGATTCGGTACGATACCGTACACGACAGTTACCTTTTCCCGTTTCATTGCTTACGTGCATTCCAATTACTTGCCGCCGCCAGATTCTGTAGACTGAAGTCTTGCAACAATTCGAACATTCGTTTGTTCGTTCGTTCGCGTAACACGTTCCTAACGAAGGCTTCCTTCTGCGCTTGCGAGACATTGAATAAGGCCCCGTGTTTCTCGAAAGCAGTACGAAGCCATCGGGCTTCCAAACAAGTTTTGTTCAACGCCAACAGAACTTCCGCGTGCGGTTCCAAATTTGTCCGCTGTACCTCGCCGCCTATTTTTACAAATCACACGTTACAACAATTACTGACAGATGACAGATGAGACGATCGAGATGTTACGCACCTATGCACTGTACAACGACAGAAACCAATTGCTCGCTGATCGGCAGTATGAACGTCTGCATGTGCGGGGTTTGCATGATAGCGTGAGTGAGGAAATTCCCGGCGGACTTCACCGTCGCCGTTTCCGGCAACGTGAGACACTCGATGGCTGCAACAATTTTTAAACGAATTTTTTACGATGCATCTACGAGCGTCGACTGTCACGCCAAATGTAAGAGTGAACATTTACCGCATTGCAACATCTCGGGAATTTGATCGGGTATTTGCAACAGCAGCCTGGTGTTCTTCTTACAGACCTGAGCCAACAGTCCAAGATACGCGTACATTAGGTCCGCCCATTCGGACAGACTCCCGTGGACCGACCTGCAGGCCCTGACTCCGCTCAACGTGATCGAGCTTATGTCAGCGAAAACCGGGCCGATCACGTTGTTCGGATCGCGGCCGAACAGCAACACCAGTTGCCGAAGGAGGTCCAAGGCAGCGGGATGGGGCCAAGTCTTGTACGAGGTCGACAAGATCGAGAGCAGAGCTCGAGCGTCTTCTTCCGGATGAAGCAATGACCAGAGTGACTTCTGCGCGCAAGTGTACATCTCTCCCAGCGTGTTGTTGTCTTGGCCCCATTCGGGGTGGACGATGATCTGCCTGAATATCGGTAACAGAGCGTCCAGCACAGCCTTTCCGATGGATCCCTCCAACATGGAGAGGAACATGGTCGCCATCTTCAACTGACTGGTGACCGCGTCGCGTGCTACGAACCACGGTTGGTTCAGAAGTTCGCGAATTTTGATTATGCACAGACCTAGCGTAGCGTCCAGATGAGCCAGTTTCTGGTCGGTGGTAGGCAACATATTCAGCAACGTGCCAGCCGCATACATTAAACGCAGACCCTCCGCGCAGCCGGGGGCAACGCTCGGAAGAACTTGTTCAATAGTATTGAGGACTGAGGGGGCGAACGGCGCGAATTGTTGCTTGCCTTCTCGAGCCAGATCCTTCAAAGCTATCGTCGCAAACGGCGCGGTTGGCATGCCTCCCGCTAAGCCTATGGTCACGATTCGCAGCACTTTCTCGAGCCAAGGTTCGGGATGTTCGCCTATCCATTCGGCGTACGCGCCTATCGTCGAGCACGCGCACGCTAATACCTAGTAATATACGAACTGTTTGATCTCGTTCCTACCGATCGTCGTAATAACGATGTGTCGTACCTTTGGGGGATAGCGTTCGTAGGGTATATGGGTGACGATCAAATTCATCAGCGCGGGAATGTAATGCGATTCCTCGGTACCGACGCTGTCTGCCAGAGCTTCGAAGGCGTGCAGCGTCGATTCTATTTCCGTCCATCTGTCCGTGCTGGTCAACGCCTGACTCAACCGATGTCCGAGAAGCACCAGTAGGTCTTGTCCCAGCACTTTGAAACAGTAGTCCAAAGTGTCGGCCACATCCTGTCTGTAACACCTGAACAGTTCCCGTTCGTCCGCGTCTCCTGCCTCCTCAGCCGTCGACGGAAGCGTGGATTTTCTCAGCAGCGCTTGAGACAGTCGCGCGTAAATCGGTCTCAACGCTACGATAGCGAGATTCTCGTACGGCTGATCGAGAGTGGACACGTCGTCCTGCAGGGCAAACCAGAATCCGAACGGGATCGAGCTGCGCGTCTCGTCCGTCGGGTACCGTCCTTTTTGCTCGGAACATTGTAAAAGTAACTCGATTAAACCTTCGACAGTCCATTTCTGTTCTTCGTTTCCCTCATTCACTAAAGCATATAGAAATATTCTACTGTGAACTTCTCCGATCGCCGACAGTATCTCGCAAAAATATTTTCCACTGTACTGCCTTGCCATGGTTACCAAACTCCGTGCCCATACCCACAACGTTTGCGGCCTTTTTCCAAGCTCGCAATGGGTCACAAGCAGGGTTAAACATTCCTGCACCACCTCCCAACCCTTCGCGTTATCCCTCTCTTCCGGTTCCCTTGAAAATGATTCAATTTACGATTCTATAACGGGCACGGTCTCGACGATGTCTCTGCGATGTACCTGCTCGGAGCGTAGTACGCCGCGGCCGTCAACAAATGTCCATATATCTGGGCGGCGGGCTCGAGCGGGAGCTGACTGAGTTTCAACCAGGACAACGCACACTCTATACTCAACAAGTGCAAATCGCTTTCACTGTCCTGAGAACTACCGGGACTGCACATACAGAACACTTGATCTAAAAGCCAGATCGTCCTGCACCACTCGTTCACCAAACATTCGTTAAGCTTAGCAGCCTTGTGTCTTCTTTCGTACTGATCGAATTATACGAAACGTTTATCATTACGTTAACATTACGACGCGTAAGTAGTAATGCGAGAACTTTACCTCTACTGGTAACATGGAAAGAGTGCGTAGCAACAATTCCAACATAGGTATAGAATCGTAAGTCAACATCCTTATTAATTCGTCTACAACATTGTTATTCTTGTCCTGGTTCTCGGCAACTGTGCTGACGTTGGCGAAGAATCCGGCTAACTGAATTCAACGGGAAAACCTTATTGCCTCAAATTGAAATCGAAGAGAAATTCGTATCGAAGAAGACGTTACCGCTTGACATAGTTTAGAGAGCACGATCTTTGGCATGTTCGGCTGCTTCATGCAGTTTATCAAACGTTCCTGCAGTGCTGGAAACTCGCTCCTGGGTACCTCGTTGAACTGTTTCAAGATCTTCGTGTGCAACGTCGTAGCAGCATAAAATTGTACTTCTCTGGACTAAGCATCGGGAGCATTACTTTTTACGGAGGATAAAGAGAGACACGCCTAATGAAATGCAATATGTTCCGTACCTTTGAGGAGTCGAGGAGGTCCCAGACGAAGGTCCAGGCCTCCGGAGAGGTCTGGACTTTGAGCAACCATTGGTGCACCTCGTTGTTCGCTTCCGCGTAAAATTGTTTTACGGCTTGGTCGATTATAGTCGCATAATCCATCGCGGATTATTCTTTAGTTCTTGAAAACTAACGAACTCCTACACCTGGAAGGGTGTCATCGCCAGCTAACCGCTTTTGTCCTCCGTGTCTAGCCTGTTCTATCGTTACCGTCGGCAATGACTTAAAACACCGACACCTTCTACGCGTGTCATTTAGAACAAGGGCATTAGATTCTTCTGCACACGATTTTAAACTCCTGTTTACTCTGGTTTACGCGGCCCTTTCTCGACTAAATATCATCGCGAATCGACGTACGAACTACGACGAACTGTCGTGGAAGGAAGCAAGATCGATTTTCAACGATTCAACGTTATAACCTCGTCTAACGGATCAGCTGGATTTAAATGGCCTGAGAAAAACTGGGAATCAACAAATAACGATCGCGCTCGTTCGACTATATGTTAAAATCAAATTCTGATTCGTTTGATCGCGATTATTAGCGTCTGCTCGGACGTGCGACACCACAGCTGATTGCACGTGCGTTGCATCACGCATTACCAGATCACGTTCCCGAAGAAACATGAATCTCGGACAGTTCCTTCGTTCGAACAAGAATCATAATATGCATCGTTCGTGCACGAAAGTCTACAGTCATCTTTTTATTTATCCTAAAATTAGTGTCCCTTAAGTAGTATTTGTTTGTTAAGCAAGCGACGTAATATGAGATGAGACAGTCAAGTGCATGCTGGATTCTGTGATGCGAACCTTGGTGAACCTCAATAAGTATATGCACAATTACGAGAATCTCCCGGTCAAAAGTATGAGTTCGGTATTTCGAATTTTTGTTTACTTTTCGAAACAGTGCTGTTAATTGACGAACAATGGAACGGGACGATCTAGGCGCAGTGGCCAAAATACCTAAACAGGATTTGGTCGCTCTGGCAAAAGAGATAGAAAAAGCGGACAGTTTTGTGAAGTCTAATGCTTGCGGTAAACTACAGGTGATCGTGGAACAAATAAGGTTTCTGAAGAAACAAGCTGAGAATGTTCTCACGGAGGCCGATTGGAATATGCGACTGCATCACGTTGCATGCAATTTCGTTAAACGACCCGGACACGTGTATCATCTCTATCAACGAGAAACCGGTGAAGATTACTTTTCTCTGATCAGTCCGGAGGTAAATGGAACGTTCCCGTTTTACTTATTTCGTTCCAACTTCAAAGTAGACTAGCGTATAACTATTGTTTTACAGGAATGGGGTGACTCTAGTCCGACTTACAAAGGTTCCTATAGATTGGAGCATGACCGTTCGTGGACGTCATTAAAGGAGACTAAAGAGAAGGACAAGGATCTGGCAATGCTGGCCAAAATATGGTCCAACATTCCTAACTCTGAGCTCAAAAGCATCGATCTAAATTTGACTAATGATAACATGTAACAGAGTTACTACTAAATAAATTCTATTCAGAACCGATGTATTTTCAACAAGACTTAAAGCTTAAACTATCTCTTCTCGTAACGCATTCGCAGTCCGATAAATGAAACGTACGAACACGATTCCCAGAAAACAATGTATATAATTCTATATACATTCTTGGTGAACGAAATGCTTCGTATGCTATCCAATTACTACGCAGGGGCACGGTACGAGCACCCCTTCGAATCGATTACCCTTCTTCTTCTTCTTCTTCTTTTTTAAGGTAACGTCGAAAATATCTTTCATATAGTCGTACAAAGGTAAGTTTCTTCTCCATTGATTTTAGGCGATCGACGCGATCGCGATCTTACGAACAATGTTTGTTACTTTCTTACGGGCAGTAATTACGGAAGTAAGGCGATAATCGGAATCCATTCCTTTGCGACGAACGATTACTTCGGGAGGAAGTATAATTACTATACAAAGTATATAAATGATCGACGAACACTCAATTTCTTCAACGAGATATCTGCGGAAGTTTAATCTAAAAACGATTCAAAGAACTGAACGATGAAGCAGTACAGACTATCACCGCGGACCAACCGCGATGACTTTACTTCGATTTCTTATGGTGACGCATACGTCATGTCGTGTTCACTCTATGAGCTGAAACAGGCAAAAGAAATATCTCTTTTACGACGATCGACGCGAAACGGCAACGGTGAAGTCTGCCGGGGGCATCGATCGTGATCGCGAGTTTAATTGAAAATTTCTTACATGGTAACGGTATTCTGAGCGGGGCGTTGTCCTTGACTATACACTCGTGCGTTTGACTACGAAACAGGTACTGGATCAACAGCTGTTTCTCGTCCCCTACGCACGGATCGTAGAATCCTGGCAGTTCGCTCTACGAATCAAAAAGAAGCGATTCATAAAAACGGAATATCGTATCGACGTCGCGATGTATACCTTGGACGCGTCGTAGAGAATCAATTTCGAATCCTTCACTAAACATTGTAAAGGAATGGTCACATCTATGACTTCATCCCTGCGGATGGACTGTTGATCCGAATTGTACTGATCTTGTTGAGGATAGACGAATCTTCCGTACAACGCTTTCGAGATTATGAGACCCTTCTTCGACTCTTCCGTCGCTCTTATCCTGCTGACGGTGGCCTTCATCAGCTGGATGGCGCTCTCCGCCTCCTTCTGCTTTTCCATCATCCTCGACTTGTTCACTTCCTTCTCCTTCTCCTTTTTGCGCTCCTCCCGTTTCCTCACCATCGGATCTATGACGACCTTCTTCACCGCGACCCACGTTACCAAGGGGACCACGGTGGCATAGAACACGGTCGCGGGAAGAACTTCGTCGCTCAGGTGGATGGGAAACGCATAGGTTTGGAAGGAACGCAGCAGTTTGATCTTTAACGTGACTCCGGTCGGCACACCCGCGGACACGGTAGCGGATATTCTGCTGTGTCGCGATATCCTCTTCTCCGCTCCGTATTCCACGATCAACCCGAAAGTGCCAGCTCTGTAATCGACCAGACGTTCGACTCTGTCAGAATCGGAGAACGGCGCGTCATACAATTACAAATGATCGTACTAACTTCACGCTTCCGCGTAGCTTCATCTCTTTCTCCTGCATCTTGTACGTGTAATTAAGACTGATGAACGAGCGTAGAACGCCCAGGTGTATGGAAAATGACGCGCGGGTCCTGGGTGTGTTTCTGACTATGGCGGTGCTCATCGAACTATCGGACCCCGCGTTATACGTCAGCTCTCCCATCGTGTGAGTGTCCAGCTGCATCGTTAGCGCTGAAATTCATGCGGTCCTTCAAAATTGAAACGTACGCGGGCTTCGATCAGGAGATAAACGAACGTACTGCCCAGTAGATTGGCCTTGATCTCGACCGGCGTGAATTCCAGTATCGCCGCGCCGTGGCACATCAATTTATACGGGAGCAGGCGGAAAGCCTTTAAGGATATCGTCGGTCCGCTGCCGGCGCCGACGTCCACCTCTATCCATCCTTTGGACGATAGTAACCGCTTCGCCGCCAGGTTTATCGAGCCAGAACCTATACCGTTTTTTGTGCTCAATTGACCGTACATCGTTACGATGTCTTGCAATGTAAGGGGTGCCTCGATCGACTGCGTAAATGACATCCCACTGACTTCTATGCATGAAAGTATGTCCCTGCTGTATTTTAAAATACAATATACTTTGTAGCATGTAAATTCCTGCATAGGAAATCGCGACAGATTACCTATCTTCGTAGTCTTTCTCGTATCGGTTAAAGAGGTCCGCCGCATTGATGTCCATCGTGATGCTGGTGGTGGGATTCGTGAGTCTCATCAGTTTTCTCTCTTCCGCCTCCTTGGCGAGATATTCGTATTCCTCCCGGATCTCTTGAGGCGTTTTCGTGCGTTCCACGATCTGCCATCCTTCCGTTTGCAGTCCATGTACGCCCACAGAGTCGTAAATGGCTCTCTGATGCGGATTACTCAGAACTATCGTACAACACATTATTCTCGCACTCCGTACATCTTGTACGTTCGCTGCATTTTATACGAACCCTTATAGGCTGCTTTCGTTCGATTGAACAGGACCTCCGCCTCTTTTTTGAGTACGGGATCCACATGTTTGTCTGGATGATAAAGCTTGCTCTGTCTGCGATAAGCATTATTGATTTCGTCCTGAGTAGCCTGCAATCGAATTCAGCGCTATTAAGATCTTCCCAAAGAACGTTCAGCGTCGGTGAAAGCCTAACGAGACGACGAGCCACGTGCCCGTTGGACCGACCGCGGAAGAGGACGGGGACAAAAAGGAAAGGATGCAATTGCATGTAGAAATTAATTGACAGAATGTAGCGACGTTATGCCACCGTGCGGTATCCGATGTCCAAGCTAAAGCCGGTGACACGACTCGCGGATTGATTACATCAGACGTCGGGGTTGTCACGTGGAGATACGGGATCGATCTCAAGGATGAACCGGGCTCGAAATGGTTCGTCTGTAGCTCTCTTAATTCGAAATGTCTCGATGGCTCACGTTTCTCGGAATGTTCAGGAACGTGTAGTAATCGTCCTCGATCAAGTGCTCCTGATCGCTGTCTTCGTCCATCTCAGAATTGCGAGTTTACCCCTCGTAGCTCCTCGCGAATTAAAGGGGGGCACACCGATGTTCGATTCCCTTCTGCTTCTTCGATATAGGTTACGAAAGACTCGTTCGGGAACACCGGGTGTATTATCGTATAGTACTCGTCGCTATCGTCCGGTGGTGCTAGGCGACCGGGAACTCTCGCCGCCGTTTTATTCTGCATTATCGACTATCAAGAGATCACGGACGCGTAAAAAGGCTGCATGATTCATTGCAACCGCAGCTGCAACGATTACGAGAATTTTCCTCCTCTCCTCTTCTTTGTTTCCCGGATTCTTCCGTTATTCTTCTTCCTCGCTCCACGGCTCTACTTTCTTTTATTTATACCGGGCAAGCGGAAAAGTTCGGACGTTCCGAAATCTTGAGACACGTAGAAATTTCTTTAGCAACGAAACGAGCAGCGTTTCATGGGCGACGTCGTTCGAAAAACGTTAACTCGGTCGCGCGATTTTAAACGGATTATTCTCCGCTTCTGTACAACTGTGTTCGCCGAGGTTTTAAAATCATGACACGGTAGCATGCAATGCCTCGGCTTCGCCACGGAACGTGACCACAGCCGGTCGCGACAAGCCACCATAAAAAGCTAATAAAATCGGGAGGGTATAAAGAAAGGGCAGGGGCCACTGGTACAAGGAGTCAGTTTGCTTTGACATTCCCTAATCAAAACAAGAACGCCCTTTTTCTCTTTCTTCCTCCACGCTCGTTTGGTCAGTCATAATTTTTAAAGGGTCCGAAGGATTGAGTTTCCCTTTCCTACTAGGTAATTTATCGCTCCTCCACGGGCGTGACTCGTCATGACCGAGTTGCAAAGGAATTTCTATGCCACGCTGACAATTTAATGCAGACAAATCGCTTTGGTCTCTCGCATCAGATCGGTGCGTAATCGACGTTTAGTTTCGCACCGACCTAATAGAATAATGAAATCGAGTAATTGTACGAGGCTATTTTGAAAATTACTCACAACAAAAAGATCGTATATGCCTCTTGATACGATCGGCGCGGTTGTAACAGAGCGCGCGTATCGTGTACGTGATAATAATTGGACATGCAAAGAGCGCACGTTGTTTTAGTAGCGAATTAATCGCAATCGTCGCGGCTAATGGCAACAGTAACGTTAAGAGGCGAGGAAACAATCGGCCGCCGGTATTGTTAAACACGCTCATTGTACTGTTCTAACAATACACTGTTACAGTGACAACATCCAGCTCGGTGAGTCCTGGCCTTCGATCAACAATCCGTTATCACCGTTGAAAAATATCCGGCCGCCGTTTATCCTTTTCCATCGGAATCGCCTCCAGTCGTGGGGTAAAACCTACAAAATTTTACAGGACCTTACGCGATGCCCGGTCGTTGACAATGTCTGTACGACATTGTCAACGATCGGTTTCTCGCTGGTCTTTGTTCTTTCAATATCTCTTACCCACTTGTTCGATCAGCGGTTTACCGAGTTACCTCACCGTTTCGTTATCAGGTTCCTGCCTAAATCACGTAGGTCCGCCGTAATCAATGCTACTACTGTTACTGGGATCGTTTCTTCGAATCGCATCTACATCACGCAAGGGGTATTTATGTTGTTCACGATCGATGGCTGGCAATTCGGAGGCGATTGTTTGTCTTGGAGATTTCGATTCCGATAGCAACCAGTCAAAGAATCAACGTTCTACAAGAAATTCAAGACGAATGCGTCATCTCGCGATACGAATACGTGGCTACGCACGACCTCAGGAGGAATACCGGACAGATTTATTCGACAAGTTCCAGCGACTGTAGCTCGATAGAAGTGCGTCCTCTCGATCGAAGAGGAAAAGGATGATCCGCCAGCACCGTGGCGATCATTCCCAAGGAGTTGCCGAGGTTGCCGAAGCAGTCAGTGAGCCGGCGCGTGCAGCTGATGCACCAGGTCGATCTTTCCATCCAATGGAAGAGTGAAATGTACCCGCAGTCTCCGCCCAAAGCATGGCGACCGGTTTTGATTCCCCTCTCTGAACAAACGTCGCCGCTGGTCTATGTAACAAAAAAAGGGGAAGCCGATAATAAACACGGTCATAATGGATCGATTAACTCGACTTTTCGCTCGAAAGGGTTCCAAATTACAATTTACGCGCACACGCGATTCCTCCACCACCATCGATTCGATGAAAAAATGAATTTGACATCCGTTTCCGTCGAACGAAATTGAATTCTGACATAATTGGATTACGGCAACGAGTCTCTGGAACGACGTGTAATTTTTTTTCGAACGAACGCGAATCCTGCGAGGAGCGGTATCGATCCGCGGAAACGCGTGCGCGGTGATTAAAACCAGAGCAGCGATGGTTTTCAATGCCCTGGACGACTAACAAATCTGACCGAGCGTTTTCCGTTCGATTCAGCGATTCCACGACCTTAATTCCACTTAGCTTTCTAGGTAATGATTATCGCGCAGAACCCGATTGCCGAACGTGATTTCCTAAGTGTAACCTGAGCATTGTCTTACGTAAATACTCGATGACCCGTATCCGATTAATTTCGAACCGTGCCACACGGACATCTGTCTATCGACGTATCGTACCTAGCTGACGAACAAGTGCAACATTTTCGACGATCGTTCGACGATCGGTCTTGTCTCGAACGCAGAGATTTCGACGCGGACTCGCAGTACCGGGTCGATAAATAATATTACCATTGAAATAGTATATCCTGCAAAATATTTGCCCGCGATCGTTCAACAAACCGGTCTACTTTCTTTACAAACTTCTCCACGAAACCGTAACAAATAAAACTGGTACGAACGAACGACCAGACATCCTTATTGTTTCTTACCCAGTCTCAATAAAAATAACGCATCGTTACGTTCCATTTTCTTCCTCGATCGCGAATAAAAAATTGCAGAATTTAATTGATGGGCTAATGGCCAGCTATAGTACAATAGGTGGTAGCTCGTAGGGACACGGGATTTTTGGTGGAAGCGAATCCAAGAGGCGGAGTACCATGCGTGGGAGGTCTTCGATAAGTTGAACGGTTCGTTGCTCGCGAGACTCCGCCTCTGCGCGGTTCCACCGGCTTCGAAACGCTCGGTTAGCCCGCTTCGAACCGTCGCGATCAGTTTCAATCCCGGCTGGCTTTCCTCTTCGGCGCACGCTCCGTCGTCTCCGCGCGAATCGCGACGCAGTGATCAAAAAACCGATCGTCCTTTTACGTTTCCAGTGCTCGGCACGAGATAAATCCATCCGCCGATCCAGAAGAATTGTTCTCCGAGGATATCCTCGCTGTTGCTGGTTCCAGACGCTCGTGTGAGTTCACTTTTCCTTTAAACATCGTCGGTGATCCGTCTCGTCGCGTCCCGAGATCGCTTTTCGTCGTCCAGTTCCGCGATCGTTTTCCCTGTAACAGATATCTCGTTGAAGAAACGACCTCCTTGAAAAATCGTCGAGGGAAAAGATATCGGTTTCCTGGGAGGCCTCGAGCGCGACGGTACGAGGCGACGCGACGTCTTCTACGTCGCGTGCAAAGTTCGCGGCTTGTATGATCTCTGGATCTATCATTGATCCGTATTGCTCGTTTATTATACTTACGATCCCGGAGATGAATGAAGATAGTTTACTACAGCGGCGTGCGAGTATAAAAAGGTAGATTTCGTGTCCGACGATATTGTTATTTAAATAAACGAAGTCTGTGGCCAGGAACGAGTTTGTAAACTTGGTTGCACGATCGGCTGAGATTTCTATGAACTCGACGTTGGTGTTTAGTAAACAACCAGATAAAATGTCGCTTCCTCCTGCCACGAACAGATAACGTTCTCCTAATTACGTCAAAAGAGCCGTGCACGTACCCCCATAGATCGGCCATCGACCAGCGTTCCGCGTACGCCAAGGGATTCCAATAATAAAATCGCCGTCGTTATCGTTCAATTAATCGTAATCAGAGATTTCGACTTGGCATCAATTGATTCTCTCTCGAAGACGTTTCACCTCGGTCTGCGACGACCGACAGACTTTACGACCGATGAAGTTGCTCGGTGAACAATTATATTCAGATCCTCCAAGTTCCACGACTCGAATTTGACATCGTGCAGCCGGATTAACCGTGAACGAAACGATACGTCTAATTGTCAGGAGAAAAGAATTTGCAGCACGCGAGATTGTACGGTCTCGGAGATACCCGGGTAATGAGCTCGACGATAAAGCGGCATCAGTGACTCTTAACGTGCATTCGAGCCGAAAATAGACGTGTTTGACGGGCCGCGTACACCCTCTTATTGTCGAAATTTATGCGCTCGATACCTACGCCCAGAAGAGGATTCTCTGTGTGTCGGCGGCCGCCGGAAGTCTCAACGACACCACGGCTCTCCCCAGGGAGCCCTCGGCTAAGTGTTCAGCTGTTGCTCGCTCGTCAAACTTCCCTTCGAATCCTCCGTCGCCTCGCATCACGGCCGCTTTTCGTGTTTCCACCGTGGAAATCCTTCGCGACGGTCTTTCCCGTTCGTCGCGAGCCCAGCTTCCAATCCCCGAGGGTCATCAAATGATTTCAGTGTTTCTGTTGCAGGATCGCATCGAAGACGCTGGTCCTGTTTCGGTGGTACGAGATAGCTTCCCTTGAAAATGTAACGGCATACGTCGAAGGTGTATCTTGTGATCAGTGACCGGTCGGTTGGAACGATCTCGATAAGTGTCAGTGCCTCCGAACGGACTCCGAAATATAATTTATACGCTTTGGAACGAACAGTGGTGAACAGTGGAGGGGTTGCCCGCTTATTGGGAGGACCAAGCCGTGCAGCATAGTGTAAATGCAGCTGCAGCGGCCAGCATTTTTATGAATTACGATCCGGACAAATCGAGGATGGTCTCCCACGTGATTCCCGTCGCTGGAGTAAGTCTCGACGTGCATACGATTTTCAATCCGACGGGGAACGATTCGCCGAACGACGTTGTCGCGAGATCAGATCGAGAGACGAGCGCGGATTTCTTCCGAAGTCTCTGTTTTTTCAGTCGTACGTTCGTCAACGTTTAACAGTGAGACCGATAGCCGAGCGGAGTCGTCGCTTATCGTCGCACGCGAGTGAATAAAAAAGAGAAAAGTGGAGGTCGTGATCTCTTCAAATTTCGCAACTATCCGATGTGCGTCTTTCGCTGAATCGTCCCCGTTTCCATTTCCAAGAAATATCGCGCGCGACTCGTTGGTTCAAGTTCGAACATTTTTCTGTCCGTCATCCGGAACGATTCGACTTATTGAATCGCGACTGTCTATGAATGGGCTCGTGGCCGATTCAATCCACGGATCGATCGTCGCGGTTTAGTTTTACGAGGCGAGCTCGGGAAATCGATAGAAGCTCCTCTTACCGTGGCTGGCCGACTAATCAGGCCAATCGCGCGACTCGGCCTTAAATTAAAACAACGGAATTCGATTACTCCGGGACAGACACGCGAACTACTTATTTAAAATAAACGGAGGATTGATAACGACTCGGAGAAGTAGGGGAGGCTTTATCGAGTCAACGACGATAAGTCTCTCGCGTCGACCCAACGTTGATCTCGCCTGGTTTTCTTCGTTTGGCATTGCTGGCACTTGTTAATATACGCGAAACGATCTTGGAAACGTGCTGGGCGATCACGAGCACGGGACACATGCGCTTTTCTCCCAGCGTGCATATTTCTTCCGTCAAACACGGTACTAATCCATCCGAGTTGCCCGAACTTCTTTCCCTTTGAAGAATCCACCGCTGATCCCTTGTTCCTTTTTTCTCCCTGCGAGAGGAGAGTCGAAAGTGGTGGCGACACAAAGTAGCGGGCTTAATTTAATGGCTGTCTCGTGAATTAACGAGGTGACCACGTGTCCCGACGGATTTCTCGAGGACGTTTCTCAGTGTCAACCCGCTGATGCACTTGTGCGGTATCCAGCCTCGGTGTCTCTATATCTTGTCGCGTTTCCAAGCTGCCCCTTGACAAGTCTAGCGCCACCGCACGAACGCGTAAAACCTAAAATATATTCTATATACGATCACGAGTTCAAAAAGAATCTGCGTCCATCTCTGAGATCACCTTCGGAAATCGCGGCTTCTACTCTTACGGCGATTTCCTCGAAAAGAGGGGTCTCGCGGTAGTCGTTGGAGCCGCTGACAGCAACAGGCCGGTTGTTTAACGAATTTTCGCCAAGTATACCGGTGTCGCGGTGTGCAAACTAGACGTCGTAAAGCCGGATCGCAAATTAACGGTCTAGCGAGATCGTAAGTTTCCCTTGGCATAATACGATGTCACAACACCGGGTCGGTGTTTGTAAGCTTCCGGCGACGGCACTTCAAACATCGCCAGCTTAGCAGAGCCAGCAGCAGCCTCTTTGGCCCGGTCCCGGATGCACCGGTTCGTTCACCTTGCACATCCAATTCCTTCGTCGGAATTCGTCCTTTCGACGTCCAAGCCGATTCGATACTCGATAGATGCGCGTTTTTACGCAGCATGTATTTTTGCAATCGTTGCAGGAGCTGCAACAAGGGAATGGAAGCTTAGGCGTGACAGGATTGGGGATGCAGGAGTCCACTCACTCGTTGAAGATCAAGCAGGAGCCCTTCCAGGTGTCTCCGCCCTCGCCGTTGCCGTCTCTCCACCAAGGTAAGCGCGTCCGACGGTGATCGACGACCTCCTGAGAATCGTTGACGGTCCAAAGTCTCGGTTGACGTCATCAGGATTCATTCATTCGCGTTCTAATAATACAGAACTCTTCTCGAGTGTCGCGTGACTCTTCTTCGACGAGAGATCCGTGAAAGAGGCGAGGAGAACGATGATGGCTGCGTCTCAGTCAGCCTCTTCGTTACATCGTTCTCTTCGTTCGCGCTTGTTTTTTTTTTTTTTTTCTCGGAAGCCGTCGAAGACGGAAGAGCGGGCAGTGTCGGCAAGGGTTGAAAGGCGCAGATAACCGACGATAAAAAGCGGAAACGGTTCTCGGGGTTTCGCGTTACCTAGATTTTTCTGATTCGCTAATCGCTGAAGATAGACCGCGCGTTATGAAACCTAAGGAGCCCGCGCGGCATCGATATCTCGGCGAGTTATACGCGTGTGCACGTCGATGCGAAACAAATCTTCGGTTCGGCTCGTAACCGAAGACGTTGGGTGGTCTCCGTCGAGAATTCTCTTCGAGGCACTCTCTGTCTCGCGTTTTCAAAATCGCGGAGGGCTTTCTCGACGCGAGAGTTATGGTCGCTAATCCGGGAACGTTGGTCACTCTGGTCCGACGACGACAGCGTTTCAGTGAATCTCCTGCCCGATCGTACGAGATCTACTTCTATTTTCTTTGTAGAAAAACAGTTCGCATCGTATTTATACGTGTACACGTCCGAACGTCAGTTCGCTTCTTCGTCCGTTTACGTCTCGTTGAGAAATGTCCTATGATTTTTACATCAGCCTCGAATAGTTCGGGGAAGGGTAGCCTGCGTTTCACGTTTAACAACCGTATTCTCGTGATTATGCGTGCAAATTTATCGGAGCAATAAAGAGCCCCGATAAGGGAGCACGGAAAGCTGACACGTTTAATCGTGCAGCGCTTGAACGCTGCTCCGATTAGCTTCTTTAGAGCCTTCTAATTACTAAAGACCGAGATATCGCAAACTATACCGATACGATAGAAAATAAACAGACGCAGGAAAGGATCGACGTCTCGCGGTGAGAGCGATCAAGGTTTTTAGGTAAAGTAAGCACAGAGGATGGCGCCTCGTTAGAGCCACTGATAACGTGAGCCTGTTTGTTTATTCGGAAACCAGGCCGCGTACGTAATATCTTCGCACGCATTCGCGTTAAAATAGAATTTCTAGTAAACAAGGGCACGGCTCTCGGACTAATCTCTGCCCGATAACGAAATCGCGAGAGTCGATCCGACGTTTACGCACCGATTACGTAGACGGAGGCAATTTTTGGCCCGGTTCTCTCTAAATATGTCGCATCGAACCATTCGTAATCGTATCGGTTCAATTTTGAATCGGGTCATCTTCCAGATGAGTCCGAGAGGAGATAAGCAGCCGGCGAATTATACAATTTGTACTCGATCCGATTATTACTTATCCGACTTGGTCGTTTTTTGGAACGATCGACGGCCGACCGGTTGCAAAACGCGACGAGAAAGGGAGGAGATCCGTGATAAACGCGTGGCGACGAACCAAACGTCGAGAGCACGGTCGGGCCCCCGCGTTCTATCGTCATCGTTCGGCTCTCGATGCGTATATATTGTTATCCGCCTGGTCCAGCCAGCAGCTACTCGTCTCATTGCTCGCGAGATTTCTTTGTCCGGCGTTCGAGTCAGTAATTATCAGCGGTAATCCGACTCCAGACGCACTTCCGGCGTCGATGAACGCGTCGAAGAGGAGGCATGATATCCGACGGGAATGTGCGCGATGCTTTGTGGCTAGATACGTCTCGATTCGTCTCGTTGAAAATTACAGAAACTGTTGAATCTCGAAGATCGTTGCCAGTGACTTCTCGTCCAAGTATCGCAGAAGTGGAACCATAGTTTCATCCGGTTTACGGTGTTTGGACGGGATGACACGTGGCGATCCATGGGAGTGGCCTCCCCGATGGGATCTTCGATCGGCTACGAAGGGTCGGATCACGGGACACGTGCCCCGACGCTCTCCGATGCTTCCTCCGTTCGCTCTGATCGGCCCCCGATACCTGATATCGGGAGGATACGTTTTTTACCTCGCCGCGACTTCTGCCCTTCCACAATTGAGCCTCGTTAAGGCAGTTTATTAGTAAACATAAAGAAAAGTTTCTGGAATCCGAGCTCCTCCGACCTGGTGAACGCGTAACGAGAGAGACGGACGACGCGATGCGATTCGCAGCGTGATGTCACATCGTATTGCATTTCGCTTATCGAATCCACAGCATTTCAGGAATGCGAATGCCACGGTTTTTAACGAAACCGATCCTTTCCTTTGTCAAAGATCTACCCTTAACCCGATTAACCACCGGATTGGCAACGACGCGTTTCGCAAAATCAGCGGACGTTACGGAAATCGCGAAGGCCGGCGATTTTCGCAAGCTCTCGGTTATGTCACGAATTTTCGCAATCGCTCGGACGTTGCATTTTTCGGTGCACAGTTGGTTGCGAAACGAACCGAGCGTACCAGCGCCGATCGTGAACGCGACACCGTTCTACTTTTACAAAGCAATTAGTCACCGGGTCTCGAACGTAGGAAATCGACTTTGTCCCCGTGTTTTTCGACCGACTCGAAACAAGGGGATCCCGTGACGAGAGCAGATGCGTTCGTCTCGTAGGTGTCGCGTAGCAGGGATCTCCAGTTGCGGTCAGGTGTGTCGAACGTTATCGCAATCTCGGTTCTCGCGCCTCGGATCCCCGAGCCTCCGTGTTCCCCGCGCGTCGATGTCTTGTCGAACCCGGGACACGCTTCTGTTCGATCTTGTACGGATCATAACGAAGATCAAATACCTTCCTCGCTTATCTCCTCGGTGTCCAAATTATTCTCATTTTTTTCTCGACACGTATTCGATTATCGAAACGAGGGTATCGGTTGCACGTTCGGTGGGAAACGCGATATCGCGTAATTGCTATGAAAACACGCGTCGGTCTGTCCTAAATGAGGCGGCGGCGGTAGCGGTCTCTCCGCCGTTGAAAATCATATACCCCGAAGGTCTGCGTCAACGGGATATCATGTTTGGATTCGTGTATTCCGGAAACGGATGTTCTTGTTTCTAGTAGCTCCGATTATCGATAACAAGGTAATCGAACGGCGGAACGCGATTTTGCGGATCGCCGATCCCTCGTACCGTCCCGGATTAATTTTGCGAAAAATCTCCGCCCGAGTGTTTTTCCTTTCGTTCCGGTCTCCGCTGGCCGAGCGAGCCGTGCTCAACTTATCGGTGTCTAGTTACGGTTCCAGTTACACGTGCCGCGGGGCACTCGGTGAATATACGACGCCGTCCACGTACGCACTCATTTTCTGACTCACGCTCTCCTTGTTTTCCGCTGATTTTCTTCCACCTCTCGGTCCTCCGACGCGCAGCTCGATCCCTTCGCGAACGGAAATAAAAACGTAATTCGACGCCCGCGTTCGAACATAAAATTACGTTTCGCGACCAATCGAAAAATGGTGTACGCGCTTTAATTCGGACAATCGTTTCTCCAAACCAAACAGCTTATCGCGGTGGCTCGCGTGTCGCCCGATGAATTCCTTTTCACAAGGTCCAATTGTTTCGCTCGGGAGATTTCCAGGAAGCCAGTGCGCGGATCGATCGAGCCGTTGCCATTGTCCAGGTTCTTGGAGGCCACGACGTCTCCGATTAAAATCGCCTCTCGTCTTCCCCGATAATCTAATCTTCGGAAACGTTCTCCTCGTCTCCGGGCGACGTTTCGACGTAGCATGTCTCGCATCGGTCGACTGTTTTCAGTGAGCAGCTTCGTGTCCGAGATGAACGGATGCATGGGTTCGTCGCTGAAACAGGAGTCCGCCAACTTGCCCAGAGGACTGACCACGTCCCATCACGGCTCTCTGACCCATCATCATCCTCACCACAGCCTACACAGTCCGAGTCCGGCGCTGTCCATACACTCGGCCGGCTCGACTCCTCATCATCATCTCGACGAGAAGGGATCGTCTCCGACGGGAGTTCTTCACAGCACGACTAACAGCAACCCGTCCACTCCTTCCGCGCCGTCCACGCCTACGACGGCCGCGGACGGGTCCGCTGCCAAGCCCGGAACCGGAAACGAGGGTAGCAACAGCAACGATGCAGCTAACAAGAAGCCACCGTTCAGCTACGTCGCTTTGATCGCGATGGCGATCCAAGACAGTGCTCAGAAAAGGGCGACACTCAGCGAAATTTATGCGTACATCACCGCTAGATTTCCGTATTTCCAGAAGAACAAGAAGGGATGGCAGAACTCCATCAGGCACAATTTGTCTTTGAACGAGTGCTTCGTGAAGCAGCCTCGTGACGGTGGCGGCGGAGTCAAGGGGAACTTCTGGACTCTCGGTTCGTGCGGGTTCTATGCGCCTTTTTAAACGGCGGCTCGATCGATCATCGCGACTCTCGTTTTCAGATCCCAGCTTCGCGGATATGTTTGAGAACGGGAATTACAGGAGACGCAGACGCATGAAACGACCCTACAGGAACGCGCCGTATCATAAGCCGTTGTACGGAGACCATTTCTCTCCGACCCACGTTCATCTGGGAGCTAGAAACTTGTTCGGCCACTCGCCACCTTCTTACGCTCCGTCCACGTACACCAGATACGACACCAGGTATTCTCTCTTCGTTCTCGACGAAACGTTTCACACGACGCTCGATACATTATTTTATTTCTCTTCCTCGTCGCGCTCAATTCTAGTGCTTGGAGTCTTCAGCAATCGCAGCTCTCCTACAGCCATTGTCAATCGGTAAGACACGCGCTTTTCCCAACCGGTTGGGCCGCGGATCTGACGAGCAATATTGTCTTTGCAGCTTCAGCCGCAATTGCAGCCGATACAATCCATGCAGATTCCAACGATGAACGGCTACAGCCAACTGGGCACCTCCTTAAGTGAGTCTCTAGCTCGACGTACAGATATCCGACTGTTCGTTCCCGTGAAATGCTCGACGACCAGGCAAAGCGTTTCAAGGCAATTACTTGGATGTTCCAGGTGGGACCGCGAGCTCTCCCGGTTCAATGAGCAGCGGATCGTTTGGAAGCAGTTTCGCGAGGAGACACGACACGGCTATGACGCCCGAAACCGTGCCCCCCAGATGTTATTGGTCGGAAAGTGAGTACGCTTTCGTTTTGAACACGTCCGGCGAAACTGTGCGTTTCTCTGTTGAATTCAGTGGTGAACGTGAAGGAGGAACCGGGAACCGTGGCCGTGTCGAGCACCAGCGTGGGTGGCGTAGGCGTGCCATCGGGGATAATGGGATCCACTGCTCCCACAGGAGTTTCTTCCACCGGATTCGCGCCTATGGAGTTCCAGTCGAGGTCCAAATGTTTCATGTGAATTGACGAAGATCCGTGCATCGTTCAGTCCTTGTTCGATTGAAGACAGTGAGCGGTGCGAGTGTCACCTTTCGTCGGGGAGTTCAACGGGAATCTGCGCGCTGGGCCACAGTGAGAATTCCAGGCCAGGAGAGTGTGAAAGGTCTCTTTCACTCGACAAACGATAGACTTTGCACCCCTGTCCTCGTGAGTTTTCGACTGCTATACAGTATTCGATGTTTAAACGAGATAAGGGACTGGTCCGTGACTCGTGAATCAGTTCGCTTTCTGATACAAAGGGAACGAGTCCGCGAGGAGCGAATTTAGAGTTAAGAACATGTAGCGCGTTAGGGCGTATCGAGACGGGAAGGCGCCTGACGGGTGCTTTTCTTTTATATACATAACCACGTAAATGCAAAAGATATAAATGTGTAGATCGCATAACGCAATAGTAACGTAAATCAAAAAAAGGATAGCGGTTTCGTTTGAAGTCTGTTCTTCGTCGGTGTACATATCTAAGCCTAACTAGTTTGTGAACCCAGGACATACAGTTCCTGTGTAATTAGATGTAAAGTCGAAAATAAATCTCTATTATTTATCGCCAGGTCTGATCGAGCGAACGTTCGTTATTTACCCACCCGTTCATCCTCTCCTAGGTCCTTAACACTTATTAGTAAAAACGACAAGGGAATATTTGTTATAACTCTATTTTCATCCGTCACGCGGTAGAAAACTGGAGTTGTTTCCTTCTGCGAGCCTCTCGGCTCAGAAATATCCGGAACAAAATGAGAAAAAGAGAACGGCAGAGGGAAGAAGTGGTAGCGGTAGCCAATGGTCGGCCGATGGCGATGTTTGCGAGAACGAGGGATGTTTTCCAAACACCTCGCGGTACGGTACCGGCCGTAGCTTTAATATTCTCCGTAAAAGAGAGGCTAGCTGTGCACGGACCAGTCAACACCGTACGTGCATCAGCGCAGGAATAGCACGTGCACTTTATTTTTCGTCTGGAAATCGATCGCGCGCACGGTCCCTTCTCTCCTTTCCTGCACTCAAAAATAAATCTCGCCTCGCCCGATGTAAAAGAACACGCGTGCCACGAATGGAATGGAGTCTTGCATCATCGCAATTTTTTAGCTCTTTTCTCAAACAATTAGATATCTATGTGAACTTGACGATAAGAGCAGGACGTTCCCATTGGTTGCTATGGACAGGTAAAAGCACCTGCCTCCTCTTTCGCCCGACCGTGGAAACGGATAGGGTTTCTCATTGGAGAACCGTGGCAGATAAGAACGGCGAGAAGGGATTTATTACCTCCCAATAAAATGAAACGATCCATCTATTTCAGATACCAAAATCCCTTGAGAAAATAGAAACAAACGTCTGTACGATCGTTTCACGCAAACGGACTTGGTAAGCAAACATAGATGTTAATCATCGGCGGTTCCCCCCGCCACTCCACGGAAGTAAATCACTCTCCTGTTTCCCCGTAGAGTTACATTACAGATTACAGAGTAACTACACCGTAAAGTGTACTTACAAACAATGACAATTATCGCGTACGAAGTTAGGAGTAAAGGAAAATTGCGAAGTAAAAACTGATCGCCTACGTCGGAGGTTCCGCCGAGAGAAATGACGCGTCGCGGGCCTAGGTTCGTCCGGTTGCATTTTTCAAGGGAACGCGGCAGGCGGTCGAAGACAGCCGGGAATTCCTTCGTTTTCGTCGCGCCGAGATTCACACGCACGTGCACCGGCCGTGGCGTGTAAATAGAGGGCGGAGTTGACATACAGCGACAGCCAGGGCAAGCGTGTCGACCATTTAGGCGACTATTAGCAGCCTCTTCCAGCCGCACGTGTGTCCCAGGACAGTGGACTGATGCCTTTATCATCGACTGTACTTAATATAAATAAACCACTTCTCCTTCTCGTTTCATCGATTCACCGGGGTCAGGATCCGCTTCTTATTCTACGAACGATGTAGTCGGCGAAGAAAGAGAGCAGTCGAATCTTATTGGAATGATATTTGCCGATCTATATTTGGCCCCGCCTTAAGAATTACCCGGCTCGTTTACGCGGTCGTTAGAGTGGATTTAACTGGACGAAACGAGGGAGAGTGTGTCAGATATCGTTCGACCGAGTTCTGGTAATCCTCGCGCGGAACGGACGGCAATAAATTCTCGGCGACGCGGCACGAGATAGAGGGAGAGATAGAGGAAGGGTCGCGTGTTGCACGATCCATTTACTCTTCGAAGCGTCACCTAAAATCTGTTAATTATATTCTGGATACGTGCTCCTACCGGAGTCCCTGTTGTATCCAAATTTGAACAGGAAGGGAAAATTGCTCGCGCCGAATAAAAGTTTGCGTCTACGCGCGAATCCGTTCGCAGGTTTACTTTTACGTAGTTGCAATGGTCAGGGAGAAGGGATCGGAACGCAGAGATCGCGACGTATTCGGCGGGTGCTCGAGTCGAACGAAAGAGCCCGGACTCTTACAAAGAGCAGAGCGACGCGGACAATTTGTAGCAGAGTGTCAACGAAGCCGTTTCTATTTTGGAGGCGACGCGCGCGGCTAACGTTCGGCCCCGTTCCCTCGTCTTTCTCTGTCTCCACCTACTCCTCCGTCATTTTTCACTCCGTGTTGCACCGGGCTACACTGGCTGTCGCGTAAATTTACACGCGATTAATCCGTCCTCGTGGCCGTCTCTTGTTATCTGGATTTTGCCATCGAGATAAATATAAAAATAGCGTTTCCCGACTCGACCAACAACTCTTTCGAATATTTCTATCGGACCCCGAAGATTCTTTGAACGCTACTCTACGAGGATTTGCGAACGATGCATTCTTGCAGAAGAATCAGCAAGGCTCAAGCGCCATGCGAGTGGTGCACGGTGAAAATAGAGACGGAATACGATAGTTAGCGCCTTCCTCGAGCGGAACAACGGAGGCACGTAGCCGCCGGCCATGCAAAATCTATCTCTTTCTAGTTCCACCAAGGTCCGAACGTTCTCGCGTGAATCGACCATAACCCGTGCATCGACGTCTATTCGGGGTTTCAAAGAGGACCAACGTGTTCTTGATTTATCAAACGTTCGGCTTATTCTCAGATCCTCCTCAGGGTATTCTGGAAAAGGAAAAGAGGGATTAGAAAAGTGTATGTATAGCACCGTTAGGACTCGTTCATTGATTTGGGAATCTTCGTAGGATCCGGTCGACCAAGTGCTCGGGATGACTCGGCGATGGCTGCGGATGAGACACGTGCATGGATACTTATACGTGAACGTTTCTTTTCTTGTTATATTACAATATACATAATCCTCGACATGAGTAAAATCCACGTGCACAGGCTTGAATATTGTGCATGATAAAAACACTCGCGCACAAAAATGTCCATCGACGACTTCCGTCTATCGTTCGTAATACTTGGCTCTCTAAACGACTCTGGTCGGCTCGCGGGGAATGATTCACAGGAGAATGGAAATTGCAGTCGGTTTCCGATCGAAAGGCTAATCTTCCTCGAGGAGATCGTCGTCGAGATTCACACCCTGAAACAGAAGGAAACGAAATTTTCGCGGACGAAGCGTAATGCTGGTAGACTGCGTGAACGCAAGCCAGTTTTCCAAACGTCCTACATCGGAGATCGTATAAACGCAAACGCTGACTAAGCTGAGAAGCTGAGGGACTGCGATCAGGGGTAAGGAAAAAGCGTGGTAAAACGATACAAATGAAAGAAAGGGTACACCGAGAGGGATTCTGTGCTCGATTGTTATGGCAACAAGGTTGTAAAGAGAATGAATCGTGACGTGAGCAAAATCAACAAACTTTGCGATCCCTAAACGATCTAAGAATCGTGATAAGCGATATTTTTAAAGGAGCTACATATTTTTGCGATAACACCTATTACTGACTTCAGTCGCGAAACAAGAACATCGCAGCTCCGTAAACCGTTTCTTCCTTTTTCGTTTCCGGCGTGCGTTTCATCTTTCTTCTCTTCATTCTACGTGCTCCGCTTTGCTCGATAGGTAGAACGTGTTCGCACACAACGGAGGGGATCGATATATCGCGCAGCAGCACACGCTCGCTCGTTAGGCGGAGTGTACGTGTGCCTCGCTCGGTTTCAGACTGTTTTAGTAATGTAATACCCTTCTAGAATTACGCGTCTGTATTTAAGGGTATGAAGGCATCGACTAGTTACCCCCGGTCCCTGTTTGACCTCGATTCACCTATCGCTCTTGCGATTTTTTAATTCGCGAACTGATACGGGATACCAGATACGAGATACGAAATACTTTCTTGTACGAATCATTACGAACGAAGTAAAAATTGCAAGAATGAAAAACGTTTTCGAGACTTACTTTGTGTGTTCACAAGCACTTAGATACGGACAGCATGCACAAGTGAGAAAACGAAAAGGTACAGAGAGAAAATGAAAAAGTATAGAAAGAAAACAACGTAATAATACAATGGACTTACAGTAGTGTCTATGTTATCGTCGATCTCGAGATCGAGATCCAGGTCGTCTTCTTCTACGGTCAGAGGCCTGGAACTACTGTTGCTCTTCACGGTCTTCTCCGGGGCGCTAGCTTGCTCGGCAGGAGAAATTAGCTTACCACCGATGTTTAAGTCTTGCAGCCTGTTCGTTATTACCCCCGCGGTCGTCGTCATTGACTCGTCGATGTTCACGTTGGCCTTGAATCGATTCTCTTGTTCAGCCGCCAACATTTCCTCGAATGGTTTTCGATCGACGTTCGACTGCGAACACATCGCGTTTCACGATTTGAACCACGGACCGATACAGCGATCACGACAGAGTCTATGCATACCTGGACGGTCGGGAACGCGGACGACGGGATCTTCTTCTTGCTCTCTTCCCTCAGGAACTGTTCGACTTTTAATGCTTCTCTGTAACCGGGGAAAAGATTCTCGTACTGTTCGGGATCGGCCAAACTCTGTCCAGCCTTTTCGCTGACGGCCGAAAGTTTCTCCTTCCACAATTTCACGATCGACGAGATCTTGCTAGGAGCGTATGTTCTCGCGAAGAACGCAGCCTCGGGGATTCTATCCGTTTTCAGTAGGATTTCCAAACACTTGTCCAAGTCGCCAAGGATGAAATACGAGAGGAACGATATATTGTTCTTTCCAGTATCGTCAGCGTCCGTTCCCAGCTTCTGTATCATGCTTGCATTTCCAGTGCTAGTGGCGAGTAACAGAAGTCCGCCGAAGTCTTGCGCTTGATGTAGACATTCTTGCGCCAAGCACAATTTACCCTTTTGCGTGGCGAGAGAAGCCAACTGTCGCCACTTTTGTTGGCTGTTCGCTTCTTTCGCGAGTGAATGAGCGGTGTTTAGATCGCCCAACGCCAGAGCTAACTCGAACCTGTGCTCCGGATCCGTGGACACCGCCAGCGCTTCTTCTTTGAAGCCCTGCTTCTCCAAGAAGTGAGCCACACGCGTCCGATGCTCCTTGGGAACTGTGGGAAGGACTTTGTCCGCGGTCTCGAAATCTTTTCGCATAACTGCGGTTTGATACTCTAACACGGATAACAGTAACGAATATGAAACGACCGACAATTCCTTGTCGCATAAATACAATCTATTGTCTCTCGGAACGTATCCTAGGAGGTACATCGGTCGATCCAGGTGCGAAACGGTCACGACCTCTCCACCGACGAAGTAGTTCACCCGGTTCACGCTGTTCGTGTAAATGAAACAGTCGCCGACCCAAAGACCAGTCTTCACCACCTCGCTTATCTGGGCTACCATCTAAGTAATACAATAAATTCAAGTAGAATATTTATTTCCATTTACCGTAGACGATCAATGAAATCGAATCAGACCTCGAATGCATCCTCGATGTCCTCCGAATTCTCTGGCGCGTTAGCAACGGCATCGGCGTGGTACTTCAATATGAAATACTGTTCGGACGTGGCCAACGCCACTAGAGACGCGTTCTCGGCCCAGTAGACGTGCGTCGGTTGAATGTCTATGCGGCGGATCAACTTGAGCGTGTCCCAGTCGTAGAACGAAAGACCGCACCCTGGAGAAACGCCCAACAGATATCCACCGAAGATACCGTCGACACCGTAATCGGGCTTGAAGCTCTTCTTCTCCTTGAAGTTCTTGAAGACTCTCACTGTGGTATTGCTCTCTCTTACCGCGTATTGGCTAGAATCCGCTGCCCAGACGAATTCCGACGCCTGACCGAACGCCTTGTTCCTCAGGGCCATCGACGTGTAGATGATGTACTCTCCGTCTCCGCACACCACCAGGAATCTTCCATTGGGATTGTGCTGGATCGTCTGCGGATAAATCTCGCAGGCGCCCATGTCCTTCACTGCCAACGGGAGTCTCTCCCCGTCCTGCGCCTCCTCCCCCAGAGCCTTCAGATTCACCTGTTGTATCTCGCTGTGTTTCGCCCAAACGATCTTACCACCGACAGAATCCATGGAGACCGCAGGTTCCTCCCGTCCCACCTTCACCATAACGCTGCCTTCGTCGTAACCGATCGAGACGTTGTTCGATCCTCGCATACACGCGATGGTCCAAACCCTCTCGAAGCCGTAATTCAAAGAGGACTCTAATCTATACGTACCCGCGTGCCATATCCGAACCGTACCATCTTCCGATCCCGTCAAGATAATCGGCAGCTCCGGATGGAAGCAGACGGCCGTAATGTTGTACGTGTGTCCCTCCAAGGTCTGCACGCAGGTTTTGTTCTGATAATCCCATATTTTCACGTATTTGTCGTCCGCGCCTGATATCAGATATGGTTTGTCCCCGCCGTGGTAATAATCTACGCAGTTCACGCCTTTCTCGTGACCCTCTAAGGTGAAATTGGCAGTGGAGGATCCGAGCTGCCACACTTTCACCGTTCTGTCCAAAGATGCGCTCGCGAAAGTGTTATTGTCTTTCGGATTAAACACGATCTGCATCACGTAATGCGTATGCCCTTCGAACATCTGCTGGCCTATCCATCCCTTCTCCCAGTTCCACAGCTTAATCAGCATATCGTCTAGCCGAAAATCGTGAAAGATAAAAGAACCACTCTCTTTTTAAAGTATCGTCATCAGTATCAGTTACGTACCACTGCAAGTCAGTATAAATGGCTGTGTCGGATGCACCGCTATACATCTGACGTAATCGCTGTGAGCTTCGAAGGAGTGCACGCGCTCCAGAGTGTTATAATTGAATACTCTAACTTGCATATCGTCTGACCCGGTGACAACCCAGTTTTTGCGAGGAACGAACTTGGCTGTGCGAACTGGCACATCGCATATTTCAAAGGTTTTGACCAACGTCTGAGTCTCATGGTTCCAAATGTTAACGTTTCCTTGATACAAGGAACATAACATCCACGGCTCTGTCGGATGGAGATCTACGCTCTTCACCCTGTCCGACCTGGCGGTCAGCTTCCGCTTGATGTCTAATCTTAGTGGCTGGAACAAAGCAACAGAATCGTGTGTCATTCCATTGGATCGACAATAATTAACGTTTGTCGTATTTGTAGACGAGCGTGTTTTGTCTACGAGATACACGGTCAGACAGACAGGCAGCTGTCAAAGACGAGTGAGCGAAGACAGATCGAAAAGGAAGATGATGAAATCGAGCGATCTATAGTTATTAAATATTCTATCGGTCGAAACTGTGATGTCTGACGCGTGGCATAATCGTTATTGTTACCATTTTTCAACAATTACTACTGCTACGGCGGAGCACGAACACGTACACAGCGAGCGAGCAACGAATCTATGAAACGATGTTATGGACGCCTATAAGATACGTACCATTATTCACGATGAAACACGTATTTACACTATCGAACGATTCCGAGTTTAATAACGTGGATGAGAAATATTAAATTCTTCCCCATCAAGTAACTACGTGGCCCAACCTTTCCTCCACCACATAACACAATCACAACTTACTCGTAAAATGGCGTTCACCTAAAGCTTACCGCGCATACTCCGATCGTGCGAACGAATTTTTCGATACGCGTAGGCCGATGGATTGTTTTATCAAATTTTCGAATATAATTATGACATAAACTCTAAAATTGACGTAGTCTTGAAGAGCCAAATGCGATCACAACGTTATAAAACAGTGTGTGAAAACCTTAAGTGTGAGTTGTGTACGCGGCTTCGACCATGCGGGGTAATTGGTTCCTAGCTCTCGACGCTAGATGGCGCGACCACACCGATTTCGATGCATATTTTTAAATAATTCGCCAGTGACTAAATGCTAATTAAGGATTCTTGTATTCAAATTCTGGGCGATCTAGAAATCTGCCCTGGAAGCGCATTTTTCTAGTTTGTCATTTCCTGCAGACTGATAATAACTGCACATCGATTTCACGCATACATGATGCATAGATGATTGCAAACAATGATTTAATTAAACACGTACAAGATGATAAGATAACTTGTTCGCACTTTGCCAATTGTAAATATTCGTTGAAACGAATGTAACAAATGAGTACCGTTAACGGATTATAGTTGACGAAAGTTGAAGCCGCAGAATTTAGTTGACCGGTCGCGAGAGCTTAAGGGGCAGTGGTTTGAGGGCAGGGGTTGACCGAAATTCCAAACTCAAACTTTCGGTCCGTTGGTACACGCTAATGTCCAACGGGTATTGTTACAATTTTCCCGCTGACTCCAGCATAACAATGGGAACTAAAAATCGCTTACGCCGCAGTTGGCAGAGTTTCGTTTCCGGGAAACTTTACCCACTGTCTTTGTGCCTCGAGCACGAATACCTCGGAAACCTTGTAATTTATTCGTGACAATGAATGTCCCGAGTTTTTTTAGAGTGACATTCGTCTGTGCGAATCGCTCTCACGGGGTGCCTTCCGTCATCGCGTATGATCGACTGTTTCGGTGGATCCTTCCTTGAGAAAACCATCTCGACCTCTCCCTACGGATTCGTTCATCTACTATTGTTCGACGAAGTTAATGCGAACCGGGAAGTATCATCGCTTTACAGACGAAACCCGTCTGCCTGTTACGGTGTGTGGATGCTTCGCTTCGTCGAACTCTGACATATTATTTCCGAGCGACGTCGATATTGCCATTTATGTTTCTTTTATTCCACTGCCATCGACGCGAAACAGCGTGACACCGACGCTTAATTCATCTCTGCCATCTCGCGCGGCCATGGAACTTCCGTCGCAAGGATATCTCGACATAATCTTTCGACTTTTCATTTACCGATCGTTTAATTATTCAGCAGTTTATAGATTTCCTCTGTACGCGTTAAGCCCGCGAGGTTATCGCAATTTCTGTTCGAAATGAGAAACGATGAAAACGTACCGTCAAGAGTCTCTGAATTACTTTCACTATTTACGGATTTTTCTGTAGATTTCCGGGATTTTTCAACCGACGGATCAATTAACATGCCAGGCAATTAAGCCGATCGTCGAGCTCCGAGATCGGGTACGTTTTCATTTCCCCGTACTTGACCCGTTTCAACGTTAAACGTTATCCTGAATACACAGTGCCATAGATCTTAAATTATCTGTAGAAAAGAAATGAGTCCGTAATCGAAATAAGAGGCGACCCAGTTTCTGAACTTTGACCATTTAGATCGCAGACTACGTTCAGTTTTGCGGTCGAACGTAGCCTTTTCGCATCTACGGGATAAACACGGGAAATGGAAAAATTTCCGACGATGCCCCGAAGCTATTTTTCTCATTTTACGTAGATTGAATTCGTTTAAGGGGGAACGGTGTTCTTTGTCGGCGCGAACACCGTGCAATTCGTAATTGCGCCAGTGGACGGCTTTAAAAGTGATCTTTATGGATGATAACAACTGCGACTAGCTCGCAATTAACGTTCAGTCTCCTAAACCGACCCAAGCCCGTTTTTACAAATTAATTTGAAGCCTTCTCGAATCGCTACGATGTACAGCGTCGTTGGATTAGGTGCGAAACGAGCGTGTACCAGAAAAATGTCGAGAGGAGGTCAGGGCTCCGGTTCTCTCGGCCGACCTACTGCTCCTTTCCCGGCTGCACTATTTCGACGCCGCTTTTTCACCCGGTTATCCTTCCCACTTATCAGACTTTTCTTCTACGGTCGCATCGATCACGGAATTTTTTCCCGAACCGTGGTAGCATCGATCACGGGTGATCTATGCGAGGCAGGTCTTGTACAGGTACAAGGATACCGAAAGATTTAAGATCGATTTTAAACAAAGGAATTCCCTGCCCTGTGCCGCATTCCACGGTGCATGGGAAAAATTCCTTTCCCTTTTTGCGGGTCGCGGTTCTTCGTTTCCGTCACGGCGAGGATTTCCGTCTCGTTTCTTCGTCGAGTCGTCGACCCGAGCCACGAAACGTTATGCAAACGTTGCCTAATCGCTAATTACCTAGAAATTTCGTCGGTACGCCGTTTACCGTCCTTCTCACAGTAAAACGACTAAAGATTTTCCACGTTCAAACTGACATTGCTCCGGAGCTGTCGAAATTAGACGGGTGTTAGGAACGTTATAAATTAGCGTTATCTATAGATACGGGACATGTACAGCTTGTAAACAATACTCAGTTGACAATTGGACGCGTCGAACGATTAAACCTAATCAGCATAGCAAATACGCGAGATAGTGACGACCATTGGAAAACGCGACATACTTGTACAGTATTTCATAGTAGCCACCGATAAAATTGAACAAACCGTTGGATTTAAAGGGATCAGCGCCCATCTGTCCTGATCCAATAAGTCTTCGATAAAAACGGAAATCAACGAGGAAGACCGAAATTACATTTTATTTTGAACAACGGGCGTCACGCTACGATGTCGGCTGTAACGATTTCCTCTGAGCGCGCAAGCCTTTCGTGAAACACTCGTAATCTAACGTCGACTGCAGGAAATCGCGATTATTAGACGTTGAGGATAGTTGCGAAAAATCTTATGCCCCCTTGGGTCACCGAACCTCGTTCATTTCTAAAGACGAGCCAAATCGAACGTCTCGCAACGTCCGAGTGGATCACCGAGTCTTATGCATTTCGTGTAAAAGTCGCGTAATCCGCATAAAATGTATAAATGAATCGATGTCTGTTTGCCTGAAAAATTGGCAGGCTCGGTTGTATATACCGCCATTATTACTTCCCGCGTTACAAATGACTCATTCGGTTGATGAATGCGATGAAATGGGGAAATCAGTGGCTGGTAATAAATTCAGTGGCTGGGCACTCGCCAATAAACTAACCCCATCGACTCTTTCGATTGAACACGGTCAAGATTATGGATCGATAGCGGCTACCATTTAGAAAATGACCGCGTCTTCTCTTCCATCCACTATTGCAAATTGAGCAACGATGAACAACGATAGAAATAGCTGAGAAACATTTGGCACGAATACGCGGTTCTATTTTCGACCGTGAAATATTTGAAAACGAACGAACGGAGGTGTCGCGGATTTTGAAAACGTAAGCGATTTCGTTTAAATGGTAGGCAGGAGAAAAGAGAAGGAAATTGTAACGAATTTATGGAAACGCTGACGTTTCCATTGCCCTCACGATTCGAGAGCGTAGTAAATCTTGCCCAGTCGGCGGCGAAAAATTCGGGCACGTTGATAGAAGATAGGTAAAAGCGCGAGTTTTATTGCAGAATCGCTTTCAAAGAGAACGGAATGTTATGTCACGTGCATAGCATGCCAGTGGTGGCTTTTACGAGCACGAATCAGGGCGATGGTTCAAAGATCTCGCGCTATGCATCTGCAATAAATTAATTTCAAAGTGAATTTCATTCGAGTCATTTACTAAAAACGAAAATCGTGGACGGTTCTTTGCCAAGGGCTGCGGAACGGTAGTGATAGAGCGTCACTGAAAAAGGGAAGCGATAGAGAACCGTGCCGGCCAAGATCAATTTGGCAGAAGTAACGGGAGACCGAGTCCTGACGAAGTGGCAGAGGAGGAGTTTCTACATATAGCGGTGGAGCCCAGTCGCGAAACGATTCAGTCTCGTCCAAGCCACGCGACATTCGAACAGGTACCGAATCGCGCAAGTTCTATCCAAGTGTATCTTCGTCACCCCTCAAGTGATCCGAACGATATAAGTGGCAGGAAGTATCGAGTGCAGCCGCTTTGTGATTAAAACGTTCCTTACTCTCGTTGTCAAAGGTAAGTTACATCTCTCGCACGATCAGAGCGACGTAACGGAACCTTAATTAGAACGTTAACGTGAATCGGTTTCAAGTATGGGTGACTACAATTTTAAATAGTTTATAACTGTTTTCGAACGATGAACGAGACCAATATTTACGATGCTTTGCGGGAAGATTGAAATCGTTGTTCAAGATACTTGTCTACGGATCGTCATCGATCATCGAACGTGTATACAAATCAATTTGTAGATAACGCGAACGTTTTTTCGTTCCAAGTAATTAGTCGAATAACGTTTCGACTGTTCGGTTCAATTTTTGAATCGCGGGTCCTTGCCTTCCGATCGAAAGAATTATTTAAATTCGAAGAATCTCAGTCTCTTTATCGTCCGATCTCGCGGAAGAGAATCATGCTTCCAAACGATTTACAGCCGCGTCTTCCGGCGACCGTCACGAGGATTTATGATCGGTCGACTCGAATTCCCTGATAACCGTCGCGGGAAATTATCACATTGTGTTTCATTGCTCGCGACAAATTCCGGGTACCAAAAGATAGCACGGTTCGTTCGCTGCGATCATCGATCAAATTCAATGCTTTTCGTTAGATTAAAAATGGAACGTGTACACCGACGGAAGACTGACTGTTTGTTGATCCTAGATAGAGCATCGATCATGGAACAGGGCGGGATTTCGATAATACCGTCGAGCGGAATGGTCGACAGTACATTGGAAAAATCGAAGAGCATCGGGATCACGGTGAGGACGAGCACCGGGTTTCAAGCTGCGAAGGAGAAGCTGAAAACCCCTTGTAAGTACACCTGGATTCAGAACCAAGAGAGCTGCCGACGCGACGACCGAACGGCTCCGCGCACTCGTGATCGAAACGCGAGGAATGGAAAGGAAAGGAATCACTATTGCTACTTTGTCTCGTGACTCCGCGTGAAGATTGCACGCGTTCGTCATGCGAGTAGAAAGGTGAACGGCTGGCGCTGGTGAAAGAAAAGAAAGTACGCGACGCGGCACGCATTTCAGGAAACGCGGAGTTAACGTCCAACAACGTGATCCACGAGAACCTCTGCGATCGATCTACCTTTCCTACGTCCGTGTCAAACGAACGATATATCGTGCCATCGTAACACTTGTGTCATTAAAGAATTTGTTCCCCTCCGATCATGATTGCACTAACTAAATTAGTTTCAATTGATACGAGTAGACGCTGCATATGTTCGAACACTAACCAGGAAGCCTATTTTGCCCTCGTGACGGCTAATTAGCGGATAATTAACTGCTCGTCGACGCATCCATCGATCGGCGGAACTGTCCTTTCTGTCCCAATTCGTCGCGGCTCGCATCTCGTTACGGACACGCGCCCAGCTGACCGGATTTGGAAAAAAGGTCGAGAAGACACCGTTTTCCCACGACCACAAAAAGTGGACCCGGTCACTAGAACCGTTACGCTAACAGGGAATCTTCGGAGCGATCGAATTAATTAACACCGAGGCTCATGAACGGCAGTGTAGGTATTATGCAAACTATGTTCGAACGAAACCGAAGAAGTGGCTGAGACGCTGGTTGCGATCAAGCGTCGATTGTCTGGCCCGATTTATGGGCTCATTTACGGTTCTCACGATTGATATATCTGCGAAGCCGCGATTTTCTCCGCGGTACCGATCATCACGCGATTTCCCTCCCTTTTTCACGTTCCAGATACTTTCGCGAAACTTTCTTCTCGTTCACCGAACGAGAAACTGCATCGGGATTCAATAACCGATTCGCCTATCGTCCGTGAATATTAAAATAGTTAAAAATGTACGCATGCCTGATCCGTGGTATTTGGTGTATACATTTAAAAAACCGTTAATTCCTCTAAGAGCAGGAAACAGTGCTTTGAGACGACCGGTTTGCGGACGTTCACCGCGAACTTGACCCACTGTCACACTTGTGACTCGTACAGGAAGTACGGACCAATTTTTTTGCTCGGTTCGCCGATTAGAATCATCGGATCGATCCAGGTAATTAATTACTCGTCCCGACGAGATTGCACGCGATGGTGGATCGAATCGAATAGAATCACGTGCCCTCGCATTTCTCGTTCGAATCGTTCTCTTCTTTATCGAACCAAGATACTAATTTCAATTAAAAACGTTCTCAACCGCGAGCAGATGGCGTACGGATGATTGATCGAGTTGGGAAACGGGAAAAATTGTTGCAGGATTTACTGACCGCATTTTCTTGCCCGAAGAATCGACCTTTCACTGTTTTCTAAATCGCGAACTATTACTTTCTCGAACTCTAATTACTGACTTTCATCGCAATTACGGGCAACACCTATGCTCCTATGCCCGCAATTACGCCCAGATATCATCTACCCGAGGAAAACTTGCTTCGTAAACGTCTGAATCTAACGCTTCCTCATTTCTTAAATCGCGTTACGGTCTCCCACCTGATGCTATCTGCGATTAATTCACAGTTTTATGTAACCGAAGTTTCCTGGAACTTTTCCACGCTTCGAATCGTTGCAAAAACCCTGACTCGGGTGGCACCTGGTCGTACCGTTCTCGATACGGATCAGTTTTTTAACAATGCGACAACGTAAGAGCCCTTAAGGATGTATTNAGCGTCAATAGTTTACGAGTAATTTGCAAAAAACTGTTTTTTCGTTTTTTGCAAATAACTCGTAAACTATTAATGCTAGCGAAGAACTGTTATATGGAAATTGTAGATCTCGTCGTCCTCTACAAGAAAGGTTCTATGCAATTTTCTCGTAGGACCAACGGTTTAGGAGTAATTGAGGAAAAATGAAATTTTTTGCGAAAAGTTCGCTGTTTCGACGCTGGGATGGTCGGATTTTGTCAACATCAATAAAATGCCGTATAATCATACGTAACTCGTTAAATATCGAAGTTAGAAGAAAAATACATAAAATCTTTCTTGTGGAGGACGTCAGTACCTTTTTCTAAGGTACATAAACTTTTGGGATTGACTGTATAGCCAATACATCCTTAAAAGAAATGAAAATGAAAAATACTTCATCGTTCTACATTAAACCGCGTTCACAACGAGCAGAGCCAGCATTTCTTTCTCGATGCACGAACCAGCTTTGCGAACAGACGTCAATGAGTGATCACTGTCGCTCTCGATGGGACGGCTAATGGAAATTGTGCGTGACACGTGTCGCCTTCTAATTATATCCGGCCGACACACGGTTAATCACGGAGGCTCTAGAGTAATTCTAGGCCGAACGTGCTTCCGTATGTTCCCCCCTGCGATCGTGTACGTACACGTGTACATACGAACCTGGCCTGCGCGGACTCGATGTCGACGTGGTACGGATATGAAAAAATCATTTTCAACCGAGGTTCCCCGTATCGAAATTGACCCGGCATCTTCCGAGTTTATCGAGGAACCGCCTGACCTATTACATATTGATTTCTCCATCGTCGATGCTCTTTTTATCTCGATAACAGAGCAGCGGCTCGGGATTACCCGCATCGACGCGAGCGAAATCGGTTAAATTTCAATCGGTCTGCGAATCGTTATTTGCATACGAAAAGCGTAGATAAAAGAAAAGGCGAAAGGATCCTTAAGAGAATCAATTAGAGCGTACTGGAAATCTCAATAAACGGGAAAATCGAATAGCCAGGAATCCTGCGAACTAACGTCGCGATGAAGAGGAAACAGGACGTGGGAAATCCGGCAACTTCGAACGAAGAACGCCAGGATGAAGGGTTGACTGTTTCAGCGAGGATACGGGAAGGTGGGGCGTAGCGTAATTAAGAAAATTGCACCCGATCGAATCTCGCACGCGCTCCAATCGAGCTCTTCTCTAAAACGTTCGTTATACATGCACCGCGCGTCCCTTCGTTAATCACCTTTTCCTCCTCGCCTGACGGCTCTCTTCCACGGCTCCGTTTCCGCCTGTTTTCCTCGTTTAGGGAAACTAGGTGCCGAGCTACGGTGATGATCACAGTAATGATATTTTCCTTCTTGTTTTTTTTTTTTTTT